GTATCTATCTCCACTGGTGACAAATCCTCCAGATTATGGGTTTCTATTGAGTCTGACATGAGGTATGTGACAAATATAGCAATAAATTTAGCAAGAAAAATGGTTACTATAACACGAATAACTTAAGATAATACGAAATAAACTAGTTATATACTCAACTTAGTTTACGGATCATCAGGTCTACTTTTACGATTAAGTAGAAAAAATGTTAATAACAGAAATGAGGTTAAATTTGTGTTCAAAAAGGGCTCACCACTTTCATGTCTTTAGGTAACCCTCGTGCTATTGATAGAAGAAACCAGAGAAGTAGTAAATAGGACTTTATTTCGATCTTCGCGCAGTCACAGTGGAGCGTGGGATTATTTGTTCAGACAAACAAGGCCTCTCAATATTCAATATAAGATAATAGGAAATATAACTCCTATACAAAGTAAGGAAGTGAATGAATACTTGAACAATGAATCCAAAATGCGCACCAATGGTATAAGAATAATGTTTGCTGAATTAAAAACTTACAGTTAGGTCTGTGAACACTTGCGAAACCAGCCACAAATAAGATGGGTGGGAAATAATTATCCCGCTATAAATGTTTACGAGAAAATAATATAAAAACAAAAACCGGTGTTTAATCGCATATATAAAGTGAACTTAGCACACCCTTTCTTTGGATCGTCGTACACTCCCATTTACTTTATCTTTTGCGTCACGTAGAAAACCTCGGCTCACAACACCCATGGCTTGTGTTACTTGGTTTTCTGGACAGATGGCACTTCGGAACCGTGAACACAAAACATATACAAATATATAAAGACTGCTGCGTGAACTTACATTTAATCGTCCTGTGGAATCTGTAATTACTGATGCCCACTTCACCTTCATTCTCACGTAAGGTGTAAGTAATTATCAGTTCTGGCATTAGCATGTGACTTAGACACGCTTTGGTTGATTTTCAAAGATTATCACATACGATCTCTAACAAACTCGCCACCTGAGATCAAGATATCTTAATTGAAAAATCGTACATCCCAATACTCTCTCGTTACCGTTTTATAATAGTAATTATTTCTGCTATTAGCTACCTTTGAAAGAATATCGGCGGTCTAAAATTTGGAACTCCGGAGAGTAGGTAGTAAAGCTATGTTTGCCTAGTCTCTGGGAACATCTTCACATAATTGTATCTAATGCACACGAGTCCGACTTGTTTCCTGCAATATAATGATTTGGTGGTTTACATATCTAGCTGTAGAAGGTTGTAGTGACTCACATTTATCACGAGAACACGACTGGTTTAATAAAAAGAATTATTATTATAACCAGCTGTACCAGTGCTTGTTTTAATGTGCTTTTGTTTGACTGTGCTAGTGACAGCTATATTGTGCTTCCATTATTATTCTCGCACTTTGATTTTGATTTACGCTACAACGTAATATTAACATCTCGGTATGTGTTATAATCACCTAAAGCATGTACATAACATTTGCAACTCTCAGGACAGCTAAAATTTTCACTATTAACCTATTTTTGCCATAAAAATAACAGTGAAAATCACAATAAATAGAAAAACGTTAAATCTTATTATGGTTGCGCGGTTTTGGTAGCCTTGACGGCAATACAATTTTTATGACAATATATGCTTAGATCAAGTTATTTCATATAACAAACAGATTACTTGTCTACTCCTCGTGTATGGCTATGTGTAAATAATTGCTAATATGCGATGCAAATATAGCTTACATTCTCTGTGATCACATTCTTTCAATTGTCTCTACAAAATGTAACCACAGGTTATCACATGCACACTTCTTGATCGTCAGTTCATATTGCACTGAGGATATATATCCAAGACTTATACGTCAAAAAAGGCAGCTTACAGCCGTTGCTCTGGAAATGTTTCCAATACTTTTTGAAACGTGCATACGGAGTGCTTGAACTGATTTGGTAATGGTGCACAATGCACCAACCGTTTTGTGTTAACACCCAAAAAGCATTATTCCTGTTCTTGGTCACTGTACTCCACGAGGTAAACAACGAAGAAGCGTAAATGAGAGGGAAGACGACTGTGTAAAGTAGCACTTTTTCTCATCATAAATCGTCTCCATCAGTAATGTTCTCCCAAACAATATACTGTGGACAACTTCGTAAAGCTCGATATCTTTGTATTTACCCACGGTATATCGTCTTTCGGTTAGAATAGCTGTATCTGATGGGTATCTCACGACTTAGCTGTCATTATTATTATTATCACCAATAGTCTATTCTGTTCATTTTGCTTCTTTTTACTTCAGTTTTTACGTTGATTCACTTACTTCTGGAACTTGCCTTCTATATGCCTATCTTAACTCCAATTTTACTGCCTAACAATACAATAAACAAGCCTCCCGCCTGTAAATATGATAGATGATGGTACCAGTAACTCAACTTCGCTGGGATAAACGTATTCATTCAAAACCCAAAAATACAAACAAATAGCTGTCTAATTCACTAACACTGATGCACCCAAGTGAATGTTCTTAGTCCATTAGACATTGGTAAATTATAGGAAAGTACTAAGTAACCAACAATCAAATGAAAAGAAGCCATCTATTTTACAATAGCTCATTGCAGAGATATTGACATTAAAAACTAGTTGATTTTGTGGTCTGATCGAACTCAAGGTCAGCTGGCCCTAAATTCTTATTTTACTGACAAGGTTGAACACAAAATAGGGTTGAAAATCTGGTTTGTCTCATAAACACTTAAGTACAAAGATCCGCTTCCAATGAGTCTCGGTAACAGAGTTTATGGTTTAGCTGGCATTGTAAGGGATTGTAGGTCGGTTGACCCGTGTTCGTCCTTGCAACTTATTTTTCTTAGCCAGAATGCAGCTTCTCTTTGAAATTGTCCTCTGATGAACTCACACCGTTTGTTACGGTCGATTTGACCGATCGTTAGCAGATTAACAGAATCCTGCTCCGAGTCTATTCGACCACGATTTTTGAGCAATTTTGTAATAGTTTTGAAGGTGACTAAATCCAAAGTTATCCGAATGATCAGATATGTTAACAGCTAAATTTATTTCCGGAATACAGAATTCCAACACAAAGTCACCTCACGTTTAGTGATATGAAGAAATAATGGTGAGACTATAGTTTATGGGCGACCTTTGAGCGACACCATCTTCACGAACGGACATCAACTATAATGCAAGAACTCTTTTGCCAAATTAATGAGTGAATTTCGCACCAAAATTCGCGACCTGTTATCTTGTATCTCGCCAGTTTCACATAGGTGTGTTAAAAAACCTAAAACATATCTTTTCAGAAGATTTAAGAGCTCGGCGAATCAACTATAATGTTCAAAAACCTTTAAAACTGGTGCGCTGTAATTCGCAGTTGTTTTGGATTTCTAACTAAATATTTATCCTGTCTTTGTTCGTGCGCATGTGGAGGCGGTGTTCGATTGAGGGTGTACTAATAACCATAGCACTATTCACTATTTTTTTTCTCTAAAATTGTACTTCAACTCTTGGACCATTTAGGTAATTTGTCCAAATCAGCTTGAAAGTAAAGGTAATCAGTCTCACTACTTATTCTCCAAAATTTGAGGTCATCTGCTGAAAAGTGTCATCGACTTTGGCAGTCTCGTTAATTCATTGACATAGAGGAGAATTAATGAGGAAGTTAATAGTATGTCTTTGGGACCGTTACTTTTCGGCGGTTTCCATTCATGTAGTGTACCATGTACTCACTCTGTTTATGGAAATTTGCTTATTCACCCCTATGTGGTACCTGTTGTTCCAAATCTGGATAGCTTCTGAATAATCCTTGAGTAGGCCATCTTTCTGAATTCTTTAAATATCATATCGACAGACAAACTGATATCTTGGGCTGCTGTTCACTCCTCTGTCGCAATCAGCAAGTTATCCACAAACGTCTATTCGGAAACATGTATTCCTCTAATGTTAACAAATTTTATGGTTCTATATGACTTAGTAACTCATCCCTACTTAATTTTTTCAAATGCCTTAACGATTATGCTAGTTAACTTGATAGGTCAGTAGTTAGATACGATGTCTTTCCATATCTAAAAATGGGCTAACACACCATCCTTTTAATTCTAAGGGAGTTAAGTTTGGGAAAACGATATATTGGACAATGCTATAAATGTCCTTGAAATAATGTTCGCAAAGATTTACAGCAATCGCGAATGTAGCCCTTCAGGGTTAATACATGGGTACGAATTTCACCATTGTTACAAGTTCGTAATTTCGTTATTCATACTTTCGTGTAGACCCCCCACCTACTTCGGTTTTAGGAACCGAGTATTATCACTAGCCTTCACATTTAGTATGGCCCATACGTCTATAGTGTCAGAAGGATGTTAATTACCATGGTCATTAATGAGAAGTGTAGTATGCGTTTTAGTACTTCTAAGTCGGGACCCATGCATGTTATCTTTGTTTATGTATATACAGGCCTCTCGAATGTTAAAGGTTCATGCTTTTCAATTTTTGACGATAAAAATTTATCTAAAGTGGGTACATAAATCTAACCCACCATATTCTGGTTCATAAACATTTCCTCGTCAGTATATTTGATGAAAGTTAATACATATATAGTAGATTACTTCCCTAATACGGAAATCGATCTGATACACAATCTGTCTTCACTGCTGTAAATATACTCGTGACAGTAGCAAAAACTAACCAAGTTTTTTTAGGTGATGCCCTTTTTGAGAGAAACGATAGACATTTAAGAAAAAACAACTAGAAACACGGTTGCGTTGAGTTAGTGGTTCAAGCACGCGACTTAGTGATATTGGGCCACACACCCAATCATTAATCGTCCTGCTGAGACTTGAGAAGTCAGCCTCGATATAACTAATGTAATACCTGTTTCACAAATTGAGTATTACAGTCACTAGAATAGATTAATTTCTCGAATGACTTTGTATTTATTCATCTGTAGATATGTACCTTTCTAATTGTAAAATCTTATTTTTCTTTTAAGGTTTTCTTCGCCATGCCTGGTGAAGAGAATTCACCAGATGAAGATGGCCCGAAATATAAAATCTCCAGCTTTCTTTTTGGGAACGTTAACAAAGAAGGACAAATCGAGGAATATCAACATGATGTTGAATTGAAATCTATCAATAACTTAGACCGATGCCACGTGAGAGAAGTGGAAGAAGCTGCTTCAGACGTGCTTTCTGACAGTAGTGTTATACCTTTAGTATCACCAGAGGGTGGTGGTGTTCAGTCTATTAACAATATAAGCTCAATAGACTACTATAACGAAGAAGAAACGTTGGCGGAAGAAATTGTGGAGAAGGTCTTATACGACATGAAGCCTGAAAAAATTGAAGAGGTATCTTTTGTCGTAAGCTTGTTAGGTTGTTAACAATGGTTTATTTTTTAAACTACTTTTGTCCCATAAAAATCTGATGAGTGTTTAAAAGTGGATTTCTAGCAAACCAACTACTGAACACAACCTCACATTAACATAAACTATCGAGCATCTGGTTAAGTAATTCGTTTATTCTAAAGCTTTCTTGTACTAAAAGCTTTCTTAAATAAGCTTCAAGTGTGTGTGTTAGCAACGCACCAGATGAATGGTCCATAACAGAAGATACAAGTGTTACTCAGTTGGTTGGTAAAACCTCGGCTTTCAATCATTAAGTCTGAGGTTCGAATCCCACAACGTGTGTTCAATCGGCTGGTTAATATCATTAGCCCACTCATAGTGGCTCCGAAATGAGTGTATGATTTTATAACTTGCGAGTTACGTCATACTTCATTTTTACCCCGTCAATATTTTTCGGTTTAGAAAGGTATTTAACTCGACCTGTCACGACGAAATTCAATGAAGTTACAAAATAGTGTGTCACGTTACTCAAAACTTTGCCCCGATTTTCTATGAAGCAGAAAATAATGACTACCGATTAACCAACTTATTAAGAGTTAACATTGTCATTCAGAGATATCCATTATTATTGTTTCTGTTTGATGCTTTTGTCAGAATTACAATTTACTCCAAATTTCTAAGGACGTGACTTAAATAAAGTTCCCGAAGCAAATTGGGGTATGCACAATACGTATCGTTAAGCGAGTTCACCAAAAGAGTACCACTTCTGAACCCCTTACATTGAAATTTCAGAATGTTTTGGTAGTGCGTATTACATTTCTCAAAAATAAAATGAGTATGAGTGCATCTTCACCACTACCAAAAACATTGAGTCATATGTCACAATGACCCTGCTGACCTCAACCAGGATGCCTACCCTTCTCGTCATAGCTCAGTCGAGAAGTCAACTACTTCGTGAACTAGTTTTATGTCTTAGTCTAACCGCCGCTAACATTGTTATTTACCAGTAAGCAATAGATCCACCTTCTCGATTACTTGCTTAAAAAAATGACCGCCGTGGAAGCTGCTATTCTAAACCTTAGCATTTTCTGATACATTCATTCCTATTATGTATAAAATATTTAAGGAATCCTGTGCATATATATATATATATATATATATATATATATATATATATATGGGTCAATAATTTGTGGCTACAATTTCAATGCGTTAGTAAATCTCCCTTGCTCAATCTAAATTCTGCTCGTTAAGATATAGTTTTGATAATTCTGATAACCCGTTACCTAGTTCAGTTGATATCCGTGATGTTGAAATTAATTAATCAATTGAAAATTAAGCTTATATTCTTTTTAGGATGATTATGATTTAATCGACTCAGAACCAGAACGGAGTTTGACGCCCAAAATGGATTTGGATTCGAGGCTACTCCATAAAGAGGGATATGCTTCGCCAGGAAGTGGGACTATTGAGTCAGTCCCAGAGGAATCGTCCCTAAGTGAAATTAATGTAATAGGATTTGACAGCCAGCTTAAAAGAGAGGACACATCATCACCACGTACTGAGTCAGTCTCTCCGAGCAAACCAATAAGTTATGCTCAAATCAGTGTCTCCGAAGATACAACTCTTATTATGCCTCCTCCATTACATCCGGCACCGCTTTCAATCTCTCGTTCAAATCAAATTAAGGTATGGGTTTAAATGTAATTTATTACTTTTGTCTCTTTGCAGCAAGCTTCCAAGCCTCATCTGATGCTACAATCCCAAGTATAATAATGTGTATCATAGTTCATGACAAATCGTATCGAGATTCATAACATAATATATGTATCTCGCTGTCTCTAATGGACTCATACAGTATATTTACTCAATACGCGGCATATGGTTATGTGATCAATGAGACGAAGTGTATATATGAGTTGGTTAGTTACCAAGCACTAACCAATAAATCTCACTGTAGTGCACATACATGTTGCCACAACAACCTGTATTTATTCCCTTTGTCCGAAGTGATGACCAGTAATTTTATATGTTGATTCACAACACTTTTATTCTATTATGGCTTATCTTAACCTTCAACTAAGGTGACTTTCAAACTCACAGGCGATTTATAGTCTAGTAATCGCAAAACGTTTAGTAACTTCCAAATAAAATTCATGAAATTCAACCCAGACGTTTCGGCTTTCATGGTCGAACCTTCGCTTGATTAACAGTATGAAACATTATGTAACTGAATCTGTGCTTTAGGTGCCATTTCCGAAATGGATTAATAGGTTTAGACTTAATCCATCTTTTTTTCTTTTCGGACACTAGAATAGTATACCTCATCATCACAGTAGATATGACTGGTAGTTTAAATTATTAATATTGTGAATGCATTTACTGAGTTGTGTTATTAAGTGTCGTTTGCACATTTCTGGCATCCCAAAATACCCTTTTGAAGAACACATCATTCCTACTTATCTATATTATACTCATACACAAGATATATCTGGGGATTAGACTATCCTAACATGGTTATCGAGCCTGTAGTTTCCGTATCCGACTAGTATAATAGTTTTCCTTATTAAGATTTTATTCATAGTTGAAAATCTTGATTTAGAGGCCATAGTCCTCGTTTTCCTATCCATTTGATTTATCCTACTTCTCAGAAGCATATATGCAAGGATATACTGTAGCGACCTTTAAAATCCTTTGAAGTAGTATGTAATTGCGACCATTCCACTTTTCAATAACTCGCATATTTGAAATTGCTTAGACACAAATCATCATCATTTAAAGCATTATTGACAATTATCTCTCCTGCTATTTGTTTTGAGCAATATTTCTACTGAAAAAAAATCAATGTTGACAGCTAAAATGTACAAAGATTGATTTACATCTTTAATCAACCAATTACTGCTAAGTCTGATAGTGAGCAAGTTACAGCTATGTAGTTTAGCTTGCAGTCTTAAAATAAATACATCCCTAACATCATTGGATTCATATCAACATCGTTCACAGAACCATTTTCCATCGTCTTCATCAAAACATTTGTTTACCTCTAGTGTGCTCTAACTCACCATTTCCGTGTATTTAAAGTGAGAGTTTTGGAAGATATTGTGGTAGACATTAAGAAAAGTATTCATAATCAGTCAGTCGTAGTTAACATGGGCATCGGCTTTAATCCACACAGTGTGTGGAAGTTAGTCATACTACCCAACTACTGAAACCTGTGTTTCGGGATTTGAAGCTGAGATGTAATAGTTGATAGCTGCACTCCTTAATCAATAAACTAGGGCTCCAAAACGTCATGGACATCAACAGGTATTTCCATAATGGTGAACTTTGAGGAACATGACTAAATTTGGATTAGGCGAGTATCCTACTTTAGACTTGTGTACTCCCACTGTAGTTTAGGTATATTAGTTTCTACGGTAATACACGGGATAATTAATCTTGTCACTGACAGACACCGCAAATTCTCCACTTTATTTACAAGGTTAACATATTACTATGAATCTTCTATCATCCCCTACCATAAAATAAATTGCTCGCTGTGATAAAAATAATACGAAAGAAGCTCACGATTTTGTGATCGAGTCAATAGGCTTTCAGTCATCTAGTTATGGTCTCAGACCTATCACTTTTTAAGATTTGGGGAATTTAGCAAGATTAAAAGTTGTTACGCAATAGATATGTCTCACAGTTTCACGAATAAAATTGTATGTGATTATTGTGTTCTTAAAAAATCCATTTGGAGAACTCACAAGTTGGTTGAGTCAAATCAGTGAGATTGAATCATGATGTTACTAGCTAAATCTAGTTTATGCAGAGAGTTTTAACTTAACCTTCTTCGGTCTGGGCACGCGGGCAGTATCATAGCCCACATACAAATCAAGTGACTTGTATAGCGCATATGTACTCGGTGCCCCTTTCTACGAATATGTGTCCAACTAAATAAATAAAATTTAATCTAAAGCTAGTGGGTCAATAAAACAATCTATCGTTAAAAATTATATATCATGCCATTAAATTCATATTATTGACTCTTGATCAAAACTACTTGTTACCCAATATTTGTCGTTTGACAAGTTATTAATATTGTTGACTGAATTCTCACGTTGATTTCCTCTTATGTTTTTTTAATTCAACAACTTGAAATAAATTTTATATTGTTTCAGCTCGCTTGTTATCCCAAGTGGTTTGTAGTAAGTGCAGTAGTAATTTCGAAAACACTGTGTGAACGTAAAGGTAATAGAATTTCAAAGTATCATAGAAATATTGTATATATCACTGCTTTTCATTATTTTCTTTATTCGAATCTGTAGTATCTAAAATAATAAGTCTAGTCTATTACCTTCTTTTTAGCCCGTTTATTCACGAAGTGCTGATTCGCCAATCACTAGTCCAGTAACCATCGGTTGTAACTTAGAATCAGTTAAAAGTCCAGGGTACGCCACTACTGCTCCACATCATCAAGACAATGCTTTAAATACTCCCCTGGGTAGTCTTATGCCTCCAGAATACATGAATGTAGATATAAAAGAACTTTTCCCTTCATATGATCCAGGAAAAACACCCTTGTGGGGACGTTTATTTAAATTACCGCACCAGCTAGGAGTTTATCGTGAGTTTATTGAGCACTATGACTATATGGAAGAGATTCTGTCACAAAGACCATCACGAAGTGATCGGTAAGTTAACTAACTTGTCTTTTATTCTGATATCTCTTCGATCAGTCATTGTTATCTTCTTTGATTGTTAGTTGTGTATGACGACTTTCACTACATTTCTCATTATACATACACTAAAGACTGAGATAAAGAGATTTCTCTTAGACAGAGAAAAAATAAGTGAAAGTAATTGTAAGATAAGTTTAATATTGCCAATGATTACAAAGACTTGATTTCCCACTTACTAACCAAATTTGCTTATTACTGGAAGTATCTTCAGGTTTCAACTAATACGTTAATCGTTAAATATATTAACGAATCAAAATGTAGGTTATTTAACAGATAACTAATGACAAACAAAAAGATAATCCAGTTTCATGATGACCTCTAATTAAATCCTTATTTTTGTAGTTTCTATATAAGTAATTCTACTGAATGTGGACAACTATTGAAACCTTTGTCATCATGATCTTTAACTTGACTATACTCTTAATTTGAGATGAACCAAAATTCTTCTTCATTTTCAGGCTATCTTCAAGTTTATCCATTCTATCTAGCTTAGCAACTCTGCATTAAAATATCCATTAAACTTACTCTGGTTTTACGTAACACCGTCTCAGTAACATTTATTTCTTGGGTGATAAATATATTAATCGGTTGCTTAAACCTAGATAAATAGGTGACGTAACGTCTGAACTCATAGCATAAAAGCTAAAAAATTGAGTCTCCAATTCACTGACTCTCAGCTTCATGTTCCTTGTGAAATCAGTGTATTCATCATTATACATCAAACTTTCCAATCAATTCATTTTCCTACACATTATTATCACTTACTCATATAAACGACGTCGATATTTTTCATTAAATTATGTGCTAGTAGTTAGTGCCCAATTAATTAACCAGTAGATACAGAGCAAATCTATTCTATATTATTTTTATTTCCTAATAATGTTACTTTACACATTTTTGATCTCGTTGCTGTTGCCTATGGAGACTTCACAAGTTGCTGTATGTTTATATCCATCCATTAGTTCCTAATTGAAATCATCATCAGTATTCTTAGTTTTCGATCTTTAACAGAATTAATATATTCAAAACTATAGTGAATTGTCATTGTTTAACTGAAAACCCATCCATCTAATTGGACGTTCTTTTAGGCAGTTTGGATATAATACTGTTATACTTGAACATTCTGTTTATCATTATGGGTATAGAGGCTGGTGAAAAAGTTATGACAAATATCACCATATTTCTACAATTACATATATATATCATTGATTGTTGTTCTGAACCATGTTGACAGATGCAGACTACTCAGTTGGGGTCTACGCACTAACCTCAATCAGTGGTTGGAAACATCGGGTGACGTAGTTCATAATCAATTACAATGGTCCACATGCATTCACTGTTTTCCTCTAGGTCTGTAGTTCTAAAATTCATTTATATATATATATATATATATATATATATATATATATACGTTTTCGTTCCTTTATCTCAAAGCATATTCTCAATGTTTAGTCTTTCTTGTCATTATCACTACAATTATCTTGAGTTCTTTGCTATTCATCTTGTTAATGTGGATTGGGATAGCGCACATATGTAGTAGACCATTGATTACGACTAACTGAGATACCATTCAAAAGACGATGAAAGTTTGGCAATTAAACCACTTAAATCAGAGAACCAAGTATCATCAAACTCACTCACCTAAGCTCTAGAAAAATCCTCCCATTAGTTGAAAAAAGTAATATGTCTGCCAAACGAAAACTAGTTATCATTTATTTCCTTCGTTCTTTTTTCTGTTAAACAGGTTGCATCTTTTATATGATGGATTTTTGGATCTTGGAGAAATTCCTTTACCCGAAGAAATCAATTGTCATGATGAAGTAGTCGAGTTGAATACTCCACCAATCCCAGGTTTAGATTATTTAGCTGGCAGTGAACATTCATGGTGGCGTAGAGCCTTTAGAAATGCACTTGACGAATTAATGAATCCTAAAAAAGCTGAAGCCTATGAACAAGCTGATGGTGTTGATAAAAAAACGTCTACACAGAAACAACAACTAGAATCTGATGAAATTCATAAACATGACGATTTAAATGAAACACTTAATAATGACATAGACACGTAAGTTATTTTTATCGTTATTATTACTATTATTGTTACTATTATTAATAATTATTCCAAGCTTTTCTTCATTTTATATTATATATATTGTAGCTGATATACAAATCCTCTTCTTACTTTTGGGTAAATATTCACTTCTCGTTTTATATATCGTATAATGTTTGTTATAAGCTCTCACATACCCTGGTATGGTCAAACTTGAGGAAAGTCCGCTCTCCCTCTCAAAATGTCACGCACCTATAGCTGTCACCAGACAAGTCAGACTCACTGCCTTCTCGCGGCAGCACCATTGTTTACGAAATTGAGAAAATAAAAAGAGAATAACTGTCGGCTTCCACCACGTTGTTCGGTACAGACCGTCCACATAGAAGAGTTGAAAAATCTTGATTCCAAATCAATGGTGCACATGGGTTACACGATCCTGAGGGAACAAGTGGAATATGAGCCTGTTGTTCGTCAACGACTACCATGGGACCATGTGTGCTAAGGTTGCTCCACTGTTTCGTGGATTAGACCTCTGGTTCAAGAGCTCAGTAAGTGGTCCTCTAATCAAACCAACTATTTCGGTTTGGTCATTCGAATAGTATCCCAGTGGGCACAGACACAAATAAATAATGACTAATATATGTGGCACGTATATATTTTGGTGCCCCTTTTGTACCAGTTTGTGTTTAAATAAATAAATTGTTATAAACCAACAATGGGTTCATCCACAATTGTCTTTTCAGTTCTACTATCGACAGCATATTTACTTGTCTTCCGATGGAAGTACTTGGTAGATGGTGGTTATAGGTGTGTTATCTAAAGGAAAACTTTTAAAATTCTAGTTAGCAATCAATCTGTTATGATGTTCCAATAATTCAAATATTTTCTCTCTCTCCAATTTCAAGAAATGCTGCTATATCCATACATTTTTATAAACAATATAACGATTTTTTAATTGAAATATATTTTCTAATTGTCTTACATTTAAATTTAGTTATTTAGGTTGGAGATTAGGACCGGCAAAATATTGGTACGATCAGTTAGGTCTACCATTAGATATAAATATTTCTGAATGGACAGAATGGCGTCGACCACTAACATCCACCACTACTACTGCCTGTAGTATTAATAATAACAACGACTCCAATTCACTCTCTTTTCATTCCTCAACTAACTCTGAATATGAAGCCCATAATTGTGGTAATTTAGATACAAATAAATTAGTCAATGAAACAGTATCTGAAGTACCAACTTTTTCAACTATTAAAAAAGAAAATATTGATGAATCGTTCCACAGAGGTTATTCAGATCAAATGTGCAGTAAACAAGATCCTGATAGTTGTCAACACCGGTTGTCAACTGAATCGTTATTTCATTCATCTCCAGCTCTGCGTAAGTATCCTATCGCTAATTAAAAATAAACAACTCTCATGTGCATGCAACGTTTACTGATTATTATTAGTACTATTAGTGTTAGTAGTAGTAGTGTAGTGAACGAGAACTCAGGTGGGGGAGATAAATTTACTGTTTAGTACAAAATTACAGTGTCTTGGTAGATTATGTAAACGATACAATAAGTACATAATTTGCACATCTTCAATTAGTTGTCCTTTGCATCCTTCAGGATTCTTCCAATTCTTTTTTTATTTCAATTTCTTTCTGTTTCCCTTTCGGTTCTCTTCAGTTCAGTCTTCTAAACCTTCTTTTGACACTGATTCCACATCCGATTGGTGTTACATACTACTTATACCTGTCAACATAAATAGCATACAACACAGTGTTAGTATTAGTATTAGTAGTAATACTAGTAGTGATTATAGTAGCATTAATAGTAAGGAGTCAGTCATAGGTTTAGGTCCATTCTTACCTATCTAGAAAGATATAATTTATACATGATATGTCACAAAAGACTCTCGTTATATATGGTTAGTGAATTGTGCTTATTTGTTTTTAGTGATTTTTTCTCTAAACACTAACTAAAAACATTAAAGGGAAAAGATGTATTTGTAAAATCTCAGCGAAAGAAGTTTCGCGTGGCAATCCGATCCAAACTCTTTCAAGGAAATAAAAACGTAACTAAAAACGTTTTACTTCTGAGGCCATTTTTGTAGTTTAAATAGATAGGATGATAGCAGTCAAAGAAAATTATATTATCCATGGTAGATATGAAATAATGTTCTCAATTAGTAAGTCATACGCAACCTGATACATATATGCATCGGTCCAATTTGCCGTACCACATTTGAATTAACTACATAAAAATTATTTCAAGACAAATTCCAAAGTAGTAGGAGTAGTAACTGTATCATAAAAAGAGAAACAAGGTTTAAGGAGATTTCGGAAATCAGGTTCTAATAAAAGATAAGGAGTAAATGCACATATACCATTGCAAACGATTGAAAGTATTGAACCATTGGTTACGTTAATCATGCAGTAACCTACACCTATTAACATACCTCAGTTAAAATTGTTACTGATTTTATGAACTGGTGCCACGTTTTGATATGGCTGCCCCTAGCTTTCTTCGTGATTACTCCTGCACCAGGTAAGATCTCCCATCGAGATTGGCAGTGGTTAGTCATACGCAAAACATGTCCCGACCACCTCAGTTAAGGATTCACTACGTCATCAATCGATTTGCTAGATTTACCCAGCCCCCTATCCTTAACACTGCTTACTCGGTGGTATCAAAATATACAAGTAGTGTTCTGATGTACATAAATGATGACCAGTAAATAACTAGACATAGTTCCTTCGATTCCACCTTTTCTATGACTAAATAAATACCTTCTGGCTTCCAGTTTCTTAAAATGAACCGAGTAAACTCATTGTATCACTAAGTATTTGGACGTATTCCGTATTTTCAATATTATGTGTATTATGAATAGAACTAAAAGAAAAGAGTGATCATCAACATTCTAGTTATAAAGTTGTATGATAGTAGCATATTGGTTAAAGTGTTCAGGTTTCAATGGGTAGGTTACATGTTCGAACCCTACTTGATCTACTTAAGTCCAGGTAGCGGAAAAATATTTTACTTATAACGGATCGTAAACTGAGATGAATCCACCATCTGTTAGTACACGATTTCTGATGCCATCAATATTATTCAGTCAGTCAGCTACAACGTAGGACCAGGAACATATATGCATCGGTCCAAGTTGCCATACCGCATTAGCACAGCAAGTTGAACATCGGATTCATAGAAGTAGTTAATTCAATGGTGTTAATATATAAAAGAAAGATTGCATATAAAGATATAGTACAGGAAGAAAGAGTTAGTTTATAGAAAGAAAGATATGGAATGATTTTAATCTCATAGTTTAAGGTAAGACAGAGAGTGTATACACCTACGCTATTGTGATCGATTCAGAGCCATGTCACCAAGGGTCTCCAACCATTGGTTACGATAGTCACGCGGACCCCAACCAAGTAGTCTGCATCTACCAACATGGCTCAGACAAGAAGTTAGTGACTTCAAGCACTGATGCCACGTTTTGGTTTGGCCACCACTAACTTTCTTCCAACCATCCGCAACACCGGTTAGTGTTGCACATCGTGGTAGTCGGTGTTCAAGCATACGTAACACGTGGTCCAACCATCTCAGTCGATGAAGATTCACAACCTCATCAACTGATTTACCATCATTCCCTGATACTCTGCGTCTAATCTCACTATTACTTACCCGGTGATCCCAGCAGACGCCAGCAATATTTCTAAGGCATCTGTGGTCAAGTACTGGTAGCTTACGAGTGTCTTCTACTCTTAATGGCCATGTTTTGCAGCCGTAAATTAAAACAGAACGGACTGCCGCACAGTTTACTCTTCCCCTTAATTGATAGACGGATATCTCTCATTCACCATAGGTGGCGTAAGTTGGCAAAGCCAAACGAACTTTTCGAATCCGTGCTGAGATTTCGTCAAACAGCAACCCATTAGGGCTGATCAGACTTAAAGGGCGGTAAGACTAAAAGCAGCGAACCCAAGGTCTGAGGGCGAATTCTTTTTGCTGACTATACAACGGTGTGGCAGCAGTAAGGTGTTCCTTCAGACAACCAGCATGACAGCGATGCTGCCTTCCCACAAGGAGGAGTAGGCTAGAAAAGGTCGACCCTAAAAATGCACACCTCGCCTTATCCCATGGATATCCGCCTGCAGCGGTAAAGTCTCGACAAGTACGAGATAACACGAAAATTACTCACAAAAATGTCGTGGGTGACCAACCTCAGTTATCCATTGGGCACTGAGGTCATGCTCCCAGATCACTGAGACCACTTCTAATCCTATTCCCTTTTCAGGTACCGCCAGATGAACCTTCTCACGGTATGGGCAACTGGGAAGTGATAACCGCCCTCATACCTCCAACAGCACTCAAGACCACTGTATTCATAATCAACCTCTCTCTTCAATTCCTATCAATATTATTCAATGTGAAATGGTTTGAATTATCTTGTTGTTGATATTCTGGATTAAAATTTGATCAGTTTTTGTTGTTATATGATCATCCTGTGCGGATTACTTCGATATAACCATTGTGATACAAGTTACTATAGAATAGGTGGAATGTAGCTAGCAGTGGAATTCAGGAAGCGACTTTTGACCTATTTGGGAATTATCAGTTGGATGTATCCGCATTTCAGAGTTAATGCAACCAATATATATATATATATATATATATATATATATATATATATATATATATATATATATATATATATATATATATATATACAAAACCTCGCAAATTTTATTAATCTTTTTTTTGTTACAATATTTCTATTTTTTATTATTTTTTTCAAAAATATTTGCTTACCAGGTAAGAATAATTCACGTCCTTTATGTCTTGATGAAATGAATACACCAAATCATTTCTATTTATATCAAATATTAAATTGGGAAGATGATATAATATATGATCCTCAATTAAGTGCAAATAAAATATCTACTAATTCACGTTTAAATGCTGCCTATGCCGGTTGGATACCATCACAACATTGTCGTACTATGGCTTCCTTTCAGGTAAATAATAAAACAAACAAACAATAATGATGAATTAATCCATGAATTATACTCTTTCTTTACCTGTATAGAAATTAAGTCATAATCATTTTAAACAAGTAACATACATAAAGGAATGACGATGGTAACTAGCAGTGGAATACAGGAATCGCGTTTCGTCCTATTTGAGACTCGTCAGCCGGATGTACCTGCATACCACAGTTGATGTTCACTTAGGGCCTCGAACCCAGTATCGTTCGCTTCAAACGCCATAGCGTTATTCACTTAGCTAATGAGTCCAGTTATCTACTAGCTTATGTAATAGGGTAAAGTTTAATTCATTTTTGTATTGTTTATTTGAATCTTCCCATTGAGATTCAGGACTGCAATTGATCAGTCTCTCATTATGATGAAATTTTAAATAAAGATAATTTGCCATTTAAAATTGACTGAAAAATTACTCAACACTTTTTTTGGATTAAAATTCCTAACATCTAAAATGGTAATATTGTTATAAGAAGCTCATAAATGATTTCTGTATTCAGAATCTAAAAGAGCAGTAAACTGACTAATATTGAACCCTAGTAAAACGTAGTTTTTAATGCTCACTATACTTCTAGAAACACACCGTATGGTCCATATGCTTACGAAGTAATAATACTATTAATCAATTCTTTTAGAAATAACGCTCTCGTCTTCTGGATCTTCAGAAATTGATTTCTTACTACAATATCCACTTATCGACTCAGAATACCCAGATAACATGACACTAGCGAATTGTAGTTTTCTGAATGCCTTGAAAGTATGATCATGTGTGGTATACGATTCTCTGTTTCTAAATCCAAATGTTGCTTTAGAACTGGTCTACATCAATGCCCAAACCAATCATAAGTAGCGAATTATTTGGGAATTTCAACGGTTTCATTTATCTTGAAGCTTTCACTTCCCCTGGTGGATTGATATCTGACAAATTCTCAGCATGAATTCTGAAAGCTCGCTTGGCTTTAAGCAACTTGCGTCACCTGTGACGTAGGCGAGAAGTTCGTGTCCTAACCGAAGGATAAGTTTACTGCTCATCAGTTCTTTGTGTTTACTTTTTGTCTACTAAATGCTACCTTTAGGAAAATATGGAATATTCTTAGGCTACTGATATTTAATCTTAGATTTCTTTGAAGCAATGCTCATTTATATTGGAATAAGAGAGTGAGCAACGCTGGTTCGAAGTACTAGGTTGTTGAAGTAGTAAATCTTCATCGATTGAGGTAATTAAAACTTGTTTTACGTTTGCCTAACTATGGTCCACCTCGACACGCGATTTTGCCTGGTGCAGGAGTAATTTATAAGAATGCTAAGGGTGGCATGTTGTAATCGTTTTTTCAAAGAATTCCATGGGCACCTTCTGTATTAACGATATGATTTCCAATGCTCCTGATGTTTTTGTTAAATAATTCTTCTAAGTTTCACAAATTGAAATCATGAGTCAATTGAAGCTAGACCACCATGGAAAACCTGGAAGCACTGGACGGCCGTTTTGCCATAGTATGAAACTCCTCAGCAGTGCGCATCCACGATCCCGCACCCCAGGACCTATCAGTCTCGCGCCAAGCGCCTAACCAACTAGACTACTGAGCCGGCATCCAATGGTGTTAATGTCTAACTTCAACCAATCCACGAAATTGCGCCACCGTATACCATTGTTTCAGTGAGCTGATATCTCACAACAGACCTGGTTGAACTCCACTTGTAACGGCTTCTCACTAGAACTCCAAGGGTATCTCTTGAAGTCAGTCACTAGTGAGCAGATGATTATTATCAGAAGGGGTTTGTGGAGATTTTAGAAATTTCGCAGATTGAAATCATGAGTCAATTGAAGCCGTCCAGTGCTTACAGGTTTTCCATGGTGGTCTAGCTTCAACTGACTCATGATTTCAATCTGTGAAATTTTTTAAGTCTTCACAAACCCCTTCTGATAATTCTTCTAAGTAACGAAATCCCCTTTTCTAAATTACCTAATCTGTTCATATGAATAGAGATTGAGCTATGGGAAAGTCACAAATAGTTAAGTGCCACTATTAATAGTCTTAAATAATGTTTACAAAATTACTTCTTTCCCATTTTAATTTATAGAGTATTTTTCACAAATATTTCCTTATAAAACGGAAAAGTAGTATAGGAATTTGATATCAGTGTAATTAAGTTCTACAATGTTATTATCTCGACGCTTGCTAACCTAAAACATTAAATTAAGTAGTATGGGTTATAGTTTATTTAACCAAAAAACAACTATCTGATATTTTCTTTTCAACAATTACACTCATACTGTAAAAATGTAACTTGTCCAGTACAGATATATATCTGTTAAGCTGCGAAAATATAACCATTTTATTATGTGGTGCCTAGTAATGGTAACTTATTGATCTTTATTCTAATTACTGTTAACCCATGCATCATTCAGACAGTTTCCTTGTAACTCATACTTAACTTTAAACATTTTTTTTCAGTTTCTTCACTTTGATTCGTTAAGTAGTCGTTGTTTTAATTGTTGTTACAAGGATCATTTTCTGGTTGCTTGGTTTGATGCTTTATGTAACCTCTAGTCGTAGCAATCTTATTGAAATGTTTCTTGATGTTTTGCAACACTTAATAATCTATTGTAGTATTGAATCTAACATGTAAATCTTTTAATATGTACTATTTATGACTTATCATTACAATCACAGAACAGTTGTCCAGTAAATCAAACATTTAGTCTATCATAGGTTTAAGTGATAGATTTCACTTTTATTTTTCATCGGTCTTAGAAAAAAATAGGGGTAATATTTGTAATTCTGTGAGAAGAAAGTGTAATTCATTGTCTATCATACATTAAGCTGTATATTACCATTATCAAAGTTTCTTTTTGCCGTAATGTTAACCAAGAGATCTATTTTAATGTGTTTTTAAAAAAAATCATATTTAGGATGCATATCAAGGAAAATTTCCATTTATATTAAGTTCGAAAATTATCAATGGTTTAACCACATCCTCTTCATCAACAACAGGAATGATAATGGAAAATTTATTAAATTATTCCTCTAAAAATACATCACTATCACCATCCTATCCAAACCATCATCATCCACCTTATTCAATATTTCCAATTGAAAACGAGGGTATATTAAACAATACATGGGTACATGATATAATTTATGATTCAGATTTACCGATTAATCAACAACCTCCTCCATTTTTACTTACATTAGATCAAAATGATGAAACATGCATTTTAGAACCGATAGATGATTCAACTATTGCTTCAGTATTATCATCAATACGTAATCAACGACAGAAACGTTTAATGCATCGAGGCTATGACACGGGAGAATCCGATACAACAGCACTAGCAACAATGGGTACAGCAACATCGATGATCACGACGACGACGACGACGACAGCATCAACAATATCTACAACAGGAGGTGATTATTCGAATTCTTTGTCAACAATTGGCAGTAATACTACTGGTCATAATCTACGTGGTAATGTTAGTAGTAGTAACATTTCAAATATTCATGATAATAATTGGTCTAATTCCAATGGATTAAATGATACTGACAATGCTCTATCTCAACATAAATCTAATACTAATTCAATGAATCGTACTAGTCTTCAAGTGAATTTTGGATTAGCATCAACACGTGGTATGTTCACTGGTGCACTAGCTAAAGCTGAAAAAGGTGCTGAGAAAGTTAAAATGATTTTGGGTAAAGTGAGTTAAATTGATACATAGTCCACAAACCTTCACTTTGATTACATCGTATATGTTATTCAGTATAGTTGCATTTAAGGACCTCTTTAAATAGATGATAGTGCGTTATGTCTTGTTATTAGGGTTCGGTGCGGCCTACCATGTTACGATTTAGGAACGAAACCGATTCAGCCTCTCGAATACTATCGATTCTCTTCGGAACTGACAACGGCCAGTTATACTCAACAACATCAAATCTCGACGGCTAAGACAGGAAGAAGACGGAATTTCAGGTAACTTGATATTGTGGTAGAACAAGTAACTCAGACAAAATCGGTACAAAAGTTGTTAATATAGTATCAGAATATGACCTTCGAACATGCAGAAATTTAGCGAACTAAAAAAACATGACAATCAATCAGAGGGCAAAGGTCATGCGGAAAATCGAATTGATAGAAGGTATGCGAGTTGTTATCGTTCCAGAAGACATTTTAGCAGTTTCATAAGTGAGTAATCACAAACTAAGATGAAACCGATGTTCAAAACTATTATTTTCAATATTTTTAGAGCTATCTACCTTTTGGTCTGTGATATGAAAGCTTATTCTTAAATCAAACAGTTTCTGCGAATTTCTTATCCTAACTTGGTGAGACTATAATTTATGGACGACCTTTGAGCGACGTCAAGGTGACCCTGATTGTTCACCTAATAACTGTGATTAAATGAGGGCTATAAAACAGTGTGAGGAATAAGAATTATGATTTAGAGTTGATGGTTAGGGTTAGTAACTAGATTTAGGGTTTTCGTCATGAACTGTCATCAGCTAAATGTATGAATGAATTTCGCTCCATAATCCAAGACCTGTAATCCTAAATCTGATTGATTCATCCATAAATTATAGTCTCGCCAATTTCACTTATACTATATACAATATATACTTTTTACAATTTGTACTATCTCACTTATCTCAGCATGGTCTGTTAGCTGAAGATGATTGGCAATCAAGTCAAGCAGAAAAATCTACGAATAATACAGATGATAAAAATGATCACCTTCAAGATATCAATGAATATAATTCAGATGGTAATACTTTAGCATCAGCTGCAGCAGCGGTTTCTGGTATTCCACCAAAAGATCCGTTAAATTTATCAAATGATGAATATTATGCAATTCGAAGCGGTGCTCTTGCTCTAGGCGGTTTAGCACGTTGTGGTCCATTACAACATAGTACTCCAGCAGTTGAATTATGGCCACCATTTTTCCCTACATACATGAGTCCACTACGTTTACGTCAATTTCACAGGGTTCCACTTAAAAGGTTAAAATTAAGTATTTTTTTAATTATTTGAAATTTTGTATGAGATAGAATATTCAAACGATTTTTAATATTAAAATCATTTATTGCTTCAAGTTGACTTGAATTTCATTTTTCTTGTTTAAAATAATCTTTGTAAAATCCTAAGAAAATGATCTTAAATGATGACTTACAAATTATACGAAACATTAAGTTAAGCAATAAACAAATTCAGTCAGTCAGTCAGCTACAACGTAGGACCAGGAACATATATGCATCGGTTCAAGTTGCCATACCACATTAGCACAGCAAGTTGAACACCGGATTCATAGAAGTAGTTAATTCAATGGTGTTAATATATAAAAGAAAGATTGCATATAAAGATATAGTACAGGAAGAAAGAGTTAGTTTATAGAAAGAAAGATATGGAATGATTTTAATCTCATAGTTTAAGGTAAGACAGAGAGTGTATACACCTACGCTATTGTGATCGATTCAGAGCCATGTCACCAAGGGTCTCCAACCATTGGTTACGATAGTCACGCGGACCCCAACCAAGTAGTCTGCATCTACCAACATGGCTCAGACAAGAAGTTAGTGACTTCAAGCACTGATGCCACGTTTTGGTTTGGCCACCACTAACTTTCTTCCAACCATCCGCAACACCGGTTAGTGTTGCACATCGTGGTAGTCGGTGTTCAAGCATACGTAACACGTGGTCCAACCATCTCAGTCGATGAAGATTCACAACCTCATCAACTGATTTACCATCATTCCCTGATACTCTGCGTCTAATCTCACTATTACTTACCCGGTGATCCCAGCAGACGCCAGCAATATTTCTAAGGCATCTGTGGTCAAGTACTGGTAGCTTACGAGTGTCTTCTACTCTTAATGGCCATGTTTTGCAGCCGTAAATGAAAACAGAACGGACTGCCGCGCAGTCCGTTACTGTTATATAAACTTTGCTAAATTTAAACTTCCTATCTGATTTACTGTTCTTAAAAATATAACAGTGCAAATAAGTAGTTCATTAAGAATGTTTTCTCATCTAGCTTTTCATTATCACATTGTATTATTTCAATAAAAAAAGTTCTTCAAAGATGGAAAGCTGAAGTACCATATTATCCTGAATCGTTTAGTAGCAACCCTTATAATTATGACTCTTGGAGGTGGTTTATGGACAATTCTTTAAAGTAATGTCTGTTACTTTGTGATGAATATAGATAATATGTGCTGATGAAAATCAACCCATACAAAACCTAGGTCTTAGGGCAGAAAATTAGTTCACTCACTAGGTAATTGGGTGTGAGCCAGGGTTAATAATATTACCCAGTTGCTCAAACCAATGTAGATATAACGAGATTCGGACTGAGAACCTAGTTGATTCCCTCTAATAGCATAAGATTAAGGCACATCATAGTTGGTACATCGCAATTTGTTCCATAGAAGACCAGTAGAATTAAGGACTAGAATGAAGTGGTCAACGAATATTTACCATTTAATCACCAGTTTATTGAGTTCAATCACTAGATCATAGTAAATAAAACGAACATTGCATTTTGTGTTGTTTCTTTTACATGTTAGCTAAGCTTATGTTTGATAACTAATAGCTTTTATGCTTAAAAAATTGTTTCCTAGATATCTTCGTGGTCCTATGTCACAGTATAATATACCATTTCCTGTCACTAATCTTACCCGTCATGTTCATCGTAAAATGCGTGAACGAGAGGATGAACGAGCAGCTACCGGTGGTGGTGAAATATTTTTCATGAGAACACCTAGTGATTTATCTGGAGCTGATGGAGAAATTGTTTTATTTGAATTTTCTGAAGAATATCCGCCTTTATTAGCTCAGGTAGTTTATATGATAGTATTCTTTTTAATAAAGTAATCCTACTTCATCTAACCCTTTAATGGTTTATTTAAATAATATTACTTTTATGTACTACTTAAAACGTGTTTGTACTACTGAATTTGTGTAATATATTGCATAAATTCATCCAAACCACATATTTTATGCATGGTTATAGTTTATCGTATTTTGAGAAAACACTATTATATTCAAGAATAAACAAATGAACTAACAAAACGTAAAATTAAAAGTATAGGGTTGTGGAGATTGTTAAGTTTTGATTGAGATTATGAATCGGTCAATCTTAGAAAACCATTGAAAAGGTGGAAGTAGTGCACGGTCGTTTCATCCTAGTACGGTACTCCTCGACAATGCGCATCCGGCTCAGTGGTCTAGGGGTTAAGCGTACGCGCGTGAGGTCGAAGACTCTGGGTTCGAATCCTGCGTGTGAGATCGTGGATGCGCACTGCTGAGGAGTCTCATACTAGGACGAAACGGCTGTTCAGTGCTTCCAGGTTTTCAATGGTGTTCCAAAATTGATCGATTCATGATTTCGATCAAAACGTTAAGTGGTAGCATGCCTTCATTTTTCAGTTTGATATTGTTGTTATCTTCACGAATAATGCGCCTTAAAATATTATAAATGAGCTTATTTATACTGGTGTTCAGATTATTAAGCTACAATTACTTGGTCACGTCAATTTATCCTCACTGACATAATTTTTACATAGGACTGTAAATAACAATTTCCGCTGTATCGTTTGATAAGTAATTTTATGCGTTATTGATTGACGAAAATCTTGGTAGTTTAATACTTTTACTTTCAATGATTTACATTTCCATGTTTATCTCGCTGTTATATAGAAAACATATTTAAAACTTCATGTTGATTAACCTTACAGTATACACAATTAGTGATAAGATTTGTAGCTCCCAAATGCCCTGGTAAGGTCGAGAGTGGGAAGAGTCAGCTCTTCCCTTTTGTACCATTATTTATGTGTTCAAATAAATAAATAAAGATAAGATCTGTATAATGATGAACAAATGTTAATAGAAATGTTGCATATGTGCTCTTGAACTTTTATAAACCGAATGTCCTAATAATTAAAGTATCCAATTTTCTGGCACTGAGCTAAAGTTTTGATCTTCACTCGCCTCTTCCTAACAAAAGATCTAATGCTTAAAAATAAACAAAACTTAGTTATTTCCAATCTAATTTATAATCATTGATCACTGTAATCTTACAATTTATCGATTCATAATCAATGATCAGTATCACTTATTTTTAATTCTCTTAGTACTAATAAAATTATATCAGTCAAGCTGTAATCTAACCTTTATTTTAATTGCCTCTATAACTCATTCAGTATGTTGAGATATGATGTTAGTTTTTGGGGTATCTTGCCGAATATATCTTCAATAATCTAACATTGTAATCTGATCTCATATTTACGTTCCTTTTTTAAAATCATAGGTTGGTATGGCTACAAGAATCATAAATTATTATCGTCCATTGGTACCCAGGGACAGGTCACTTTCACCATCTCCACATGCCTATAGTGAACCACCGGAATTGCCTTATGGTTCTCTTGTGTATGTAGGGGGTTCAGACAGTCCATTTCTTGGTGTTATTCGACCTGGTGGTTGTTTACAGGTAATTGAACATACGCTAGCTTTTCTTCCCTTTTTGTTTATTGTCAGTAATTTTAAGTTTACTTATCAATCAGTCAAATAATGTTTCTCATTATTTGTTGATTTGTCTGATAAAAATTACTGGTTTTTAGACAAATAACGCTAATTATAGCTTTAATTCACAATGATTTTTATATATGAATGACAAAATATAAACGGGTAATTTGTTCACTATAATAGGTAACTTACAAATTGATTTATAAGTAAGGCTGTGAATTAGCAGATGGATAGTATAAACATAGGAACCATTCACTTTTATATATCACGAACCAATGTACTCATAGAGGTAGTAGTAGTAATACCATGTATTTTATGATTTAGAATTCCACTTTGATATATGTGATGGATTAACTTTAAATCTCAGAACATCTCTCTAACGATTAATTAATTATTTATTCCACAAAGCCCACTTTATTTAAATAAAAAATTTTTTACATACATAGCAATGTCTAATTAGTTGGAATGATTCTCTGTGTGCTATTTATTTATTTATATATTTTAAACGCATAAGCATTAGTACAAAAACGCACCAAAATGTATACGTGCCACACATATTAGTTATCATTTATTTGTGTCTGTGCCCACTGGGACACTATTCGAATGACAAAACCGAAATAGTTGGTTTGATTAGAGGACCACTTACTGAGCTCTTGAACCAGAGGTCTAATCCACGAAACAGTGGAGCAACCTTAGCACACATGGTCCCATGGTAGTCGTTGACGAACAACAGGCTCATATTCCACTTGTTCCCTCAGGATCGTGTAACCCATGTGCACCATTGATTTGGAATCAAGATTTTTCAACTCTTCTATGTGGACGGTCTGTACCGAACAACGTGGTGGAAGCCGACAGTTATTCTCTTTTTATTTTCTCAATTTCGTAAACAATGGTGCTGCCGCGAGAAGGCAGTGAGTCTGACTTGTCTGGTGGTGGTGCGTGACAATATTGGAGGATTTTCAGAGGGAGAGAGGTCTTTCCTCAAATTCAGCCACACTAGTGCATTCGTAGGCGTATGCTGTCTAAATATAAAATAATATTTAATAGAAAATTACTATAAAGTAGAAAACTTAAATGTCTTTCAACTGAATAGTTCATTTACTAGGCATAATTCCGTGCAACTTAATTCGATCCAATCCTAATTTACTCCATGTTCCGGATACTGACAATTGAGATGTAAGCAAAGTGGAACAAACATAAAGCAACTTTTTTTCAGATCACTGCTTACAGATCATGAATGGAGTGAAAATAAGTTGGATATTGACTTAATTTTATTCACTATGATCTTAAGAATCAGTTATCGGTACTATACTCTAGAGCTGAATTTACAATTTTTAAAGTTCCAAGCAAACTCCTACTGGTTTTGGTCTTAGGTTGAGGCGATCACTACTTCTTTCGGCTTAAAATGATTAATAATGTTTTGCATGGCCTGGTACATGTCCAATTTTACTAACTCCTAGGCAATTTTTGTGCACCCATACATATACCTTTTTATATTTACTAAAATTAACATGCCAAATCGGTGGTAATTCTACAAATTCGTGATATTTGCATTACTGCACTTCAGTTGTCACATTTCATATGTTTTTCTTTGGTTTTTCACAGACTGTTGAAAATAGTATGTTTCGTGCACCAATTTATCCACATACTGTTGCCAGTACAGATTTCTTAATGGTTCGTAATCGTAATGGAATCAGTATACGCCGTGTACCAAATGCATTTACTGTAGGACAAGAAGTTCCGCTTATGGAGGTTCCTGGACCAAATTCAAAACGTGCAAATAATTTTGTACGGGATTTTCTACAAGTATTTATTCTACGTTTATTTCTACGTAGTACCGATGAACCGAAACGAATTAAAATGGAAGAGATTCGCAAAGCTTTTCCTAATCATTCAGAAAGCAGTGTCAGAAAACGACTGAAAGTTTGTGCGGATTTCAAACGTACTGGTACGTCATTGTTATTAATAATATCGTTTTCAATAGACTTTGCTTTATTATCCGCCGATTACTAACACTGTTATTGAGTTTTCAGTGACTATTTTGTTAGTTTCCATAAATAAGTAATCATTATAGGGGTTTTGTGATCTCTGCCTGAGTCCCTTAGTCCACATTACGGACCGGTCTTAGTCAGACTGTCATTGGCGAACAAGAAGCACTGGACAGTTATTCCATCTTAGTGTGGGATTTTTGGGTAGTGTTTGTTCATGACTCCATCGTTGGTCGAGCCCATAACCTTCAGGTATCGTGGCGAGTGCCTAATATTTACACCACTAAGTCAGCATACAATGGTTTATACTTCTAACTTCAATTAATTCTCGATATTGCTTAACAATCTTCGAACTCACTTGGTGGGCGATTGCCTCACATCCGACATAGTTGGATTCCACTGGTTACTGCTTTTCACTAGAACTGTGGAAATCACTTTGAAATCAGTTACTAGTGAACACATAGTAATCGTTATTTTAGGGAGTTTATGGAGATTGTCGCTGCATAATTTACGTCGTGAATGTACATTACTAGGACGGAATAACTTCAATGCTTCCTGCTTTTCAGTCGTTCCCTAACTAACATTAGTCCCTAATATAAACTCTCAAATCAGTGATCGCTGTTGTTTATTTCTACACATTATTGTTATTCCATTTTGCTTGGTGTATTTCATCCCTTATTTGAAACAATGAAACATGGATGGTTGAATATCAGTTACACAGAATCCGAGTTATTTTACATTGCTTTTTTCTCAAAAATCCTGATCTTTGATTAACTATTAGAAGATGGAAGCAGTTAGTCATAAAAAGTGTTGTTATTAAACTTTGAACAAATGTTTTATGATATGGTTTTATGTGTTTTCAACTTTCTGAATGATTTTGAAAATAACACACTGACGTTATGTCAATTTGAGAGATCGCATACGGTAATTAATGATTACGAACAATGGGGATTTTCTAATACAAACTGAACATACACTAACTCTACAGACCGGACGACTGATACATAACACTTCGACAATAATCTTCGGTACATAAGAGAAGTTAGGAGTTTTAGGATAAGCTTGGTATTCATGAAGTCGAAATTATGTTTGAATAGCTTCGTATATGTAGTAGTAATACAATAAATTTAGAAAACCGAAAGTGTGAAGAACCTAACAAATAATAACAATTATGAATGTTATCACTCATAAACTACGAGCAAGAACTATCATTTATTAACACAGGAAAACTAGGTAGCCTGAAGTCTTTTTAGAATATTTATGTCAAGATCAAAATATGCTTCTAGAGTCAGTTTTTTTTTACTTACTGTAATACAACTGGCTAATGTGGAATCAGTATTATTGTTGAGTTATATTTTACGCAAAAATTTGTTTATATTGTTCTATCCGAAAAATTAACAATAAAAAACAGGTTCAGATGCAAGTTGGTGGGTTCTACGCTCTGATTATCGATTACCATCAGAAGAAGAAGTTCGTTATCTGGTCTCACCTGAAGATTGTTGTGCACATTACAGTATGCTGGCTGCCGAATTACGTCTTAAAGATGCTGGTTACGGTGAGAAGTATTTATTTGTTTTAGATGAAAATCAAGTTGAAGAAGAAGAAGACAAAGAAGGACAGGTATGTCTATTGATCAGTTGCTATTCTTTTAAGCCATCATCATCCGTATTACCTAAAAACTAAGTTGCTGATGAAAATGTCCAGAAATTATCAAGTGAAATCAAATATGCATCCAAGTTAATTTATTTTACGTAATTTTTTGTAAACTTAAAGCCAATTGATAAATTACTGGAGAATATTTAGGTTGTATTTAACACCTTGTATATGACTTGCCTACCTAACTAATTCATAAAACCTTGGTAATGTGAATTGGAAGATAATTTTATCATGCTATGAGTTAACTAAAGTAAGGAATCTCAATCATTAGATTTCAACTTATTAGCTCCCCATCAGCTATCCATAAAGCTCCTACCCAGTCTTAGGCCCTTTAGGAAGTCAGAGATGAATCACTGAAATGAGTCTTTCATCCGAAGAAAGGGAACAGTTGTGTAGTCTCGATCTCAGTTGTAATTTCCAAACATACATTTCAACGGAATAAGTTCTCAGTCCTTTATCATATTTAAACCAAGACTTAATTATACTTGCTTTAAGAATACAAGCATTCTTATAGTCCTGTTATTTCGCTATAGTTATTATCACTTACTTAAAATGGAAATTTACATATATTTTTCCCTATTGAGACTGGAACAGCCAATCCGGTAAGCGTTTTCTTTGTGATTCAACTCAACAAATAACTATCTAATTAGTGTTTGACGTCAATAATTTGCACTTATAGTTGTGTTTTTTCTCTCTAAATTCACAAAATAACTGTCTGAAGTACGTTTGTCGGATATAAATCACGTTTTAAATAACCGTGTTACATAACACATATTTCTGTGCGGTTAACATTTGATACTTGCGAACTAACTACTTATGAGTAACAAAACTGTTTATCGTAAAAATATGGAACGTGGAGTTTTGTCTGTTATTTATCGTATACTCCTAAGATAAGAATTCGTCTGATACTTGTGACATATCACTTCTTACGTACATACTGTTATTGTAAAGAAATGCAACTCCACAATTCATTTGTATGAGATATGAGTTTTAATTTAAACAAGCCCATCGAACCCTTTACTTCACAGTTAAACAAATACCTTCGAAAGACAATATCTGTCCTATTTTTTTCACACAATTACAAAATAAAAAATCTAAGTATATTAAAAACATCATTTATTTAAGTGCAAGTTTCAATATTGCGATCTCTGATACCGTTTAAATTATTTTCATTGTTTTGTCGATTGGTAACATTCGGTTAAACTTTTACCCCACCAATATCTGCCAGTGTATGTTTTCTTCATTTTTGTTCTGGTATTACTGTTATTTAATTCTAATTTGTTTTGGTAAAGCCTAAAATGGAGGATGAAGTAAGAGCAGCGCCATGGAATACAACACGTGCTTATCTTGCTTCACAACGTGGTGGTTGTTTTCTCGAATTACATGGTGCCGCTGATCCTACTGGTTGTGGTGAGGCGTTTTCTTATTCGAAAACCTCTGCGAAACCTGGTGCATTGTTTCGGCAAGCTGGCGGAGAAGTTGCAAGAGGTCTATTAAAAGGGAAACGTACTGTGACAGGAACTGATGCTGATCTTCGTAAACTACATTTACGCGATGCACGTGCTTTATTGAGATCATTTGGGATTAGTGAAGCTGATTTAAAAACTTTCAAACGGTAAGAATAAAAACTTTTTATTACTTAATGTATTGATTAATTATATATATATATATATATATATATATATATATATATATATATATATATATATATATATATATATATATATATATATATATATAGTTCGCCTCATTATCTTGAAGAGAGCAAAAACAATGATGGGTACAGAATAATATGAATTCATTTTCACTTCGTTAGCTACTTACAACCTATAATATTTTAAAATCAATTTGATCATAGAAATTGACATACTTATAAATGCAGAGGCGATTAGAGATGAATATGTACATCATGATGTAGTGAATATTCCGTCTCACACTTAATTTATCCGAAACAAAACGTTTTGTGACCTCATTAACTCTACTGAGAACTTTGCAACATCCTGATGCACATATTCATCCCTAATCACCTCTGCATTTATAAGTATGTCAATTTCTATGATAACTTTGATTTTAAAATATTAAAGGTTATAAGTAGCTGATGAAAACCTAACGAAATATAATGAATCCATATTATTCTGTACCAATCTTGTCAATATATATGTGTATGTTGCTAGCGTTGAGTTCTTCGAGCTAGATGTTTTTTATCAGGGAGCTTTCATTGTCATCCTGGGAAACATCTTCAACACCTAGTTCTAAATAAAGTAGGGCTCAACACAACCAAAAACATCCACGTGAGCTAAAAAGATTCTCCATTATATATATAATTGTAAGAAATATAAACAAGCTGGTCAAAACTCAATAATAAAAACCATATCACACAATCCAAATAATCTAGCCCTCAGAACTAGATACTGTTGCTTTAGCTAAACAAACTGATAAGTAATACAACTGTTCGGACTTCTATAATTCACCAAAGGCTGTTTTCGGTTAAATATTTTTTTTCTTCTTTTGGTTGTTATTTGTCACTTATCGTTATCCACTATTAATAATGTCAGCATTTTAGGCAGTGGACGTATTACTTATGTTCACACTTCAGTCTGTGGACATGCAATTATATTTCCACATAAAAATAACTATTATATTAACTTCTGTATTTTGTTCACATGGTCTATTCTCTTATTGGAAATATTGTTTTACTTATACTTTTTTATTCTCTTTTCCCTTTCATCATTTTGTATTATGTTATATTGTAGTTGGGAAATTATTGACATGGTTCGCTTCACGTCAACAGAACGAGCTAAACAAGGTGAAGAAGAAGGGTCCGCTAAATTTGCCCGTGGTAATCGTCTATCAATTAGCGAACAAATTCGATGTTATAAAGAAGAATGTCAACGTATATTTGATTTACAAAATCGTGTTTTATCGAATTCCGAACTTTTAAGTTCCGATGAAGAAGTGAGCAGTGAAGATGACGAAGATGAAGTCACTGGGACTGATAGTGTTGGTCAGAGATCCACGTTACTAGGTTCACATGGCTCTAGTACAACAAGTAATTCAATTGGAGGTGTACGCCTTTCGAGTTTATCGTCAACTGCTCGTTCTTATGCACATATGAGCCGTAATATTGAATCTGTATTATCAAGTCAAATGAATTCTAAATATGCCGATGGTAAAACTGATGAAAAAGATCGTGTCAATCTTAAACGAGCTTTAGAATCTGGAGTAAGTTCAATTACATTCTTCTGAAGAATTCATTTTTCATTTATTTTAAACTGAACAATTCTCAACAGTTATTAGTAGATTCACTTGGTATTGTTCGGCTTGTATCTTCCTATTGAAGTTTAAGACTACAATTGATCAGTGGCTATCAGGACTCAATACCGAGTGGATAACGCGATGGCGTTTGAAGTGAATAGTACTGAGCTCGAGTCCCAGAGTGAACATCAACTCTGAGATGCAGGTACATCCAGCTGACGAGTTCCAAATAGGACGAAACGCGCGTCCTGGATTCCACTGCTAATCACTATCCATCATTGCTTACAAAAAGTTATTATTAGATTTTACATTACATGTACCAGAACAACTCAAACATCTCCTTAGATATATTGTTTATTGGTTTTTCCTTTTAAAACAATTTTAATTTCATTAAACAAACTGATAAATTAATAACTGATTACTGAACTAAACTACATTTCTTATTTGACACATAACGGGTAAGTAAATTCTGTTTCAAATTCTTTTCTTTTTTAGTTTATTTATTAAAGCAGGTAGGTTAAATTAATTTGTTGAGGATCTGTTTATTTAGTTTTATCGTAAGTGCGTGCCTGACCTAATTGTACTATCTAGCAAATTAGATCCTTTGGTCAGTAAATATTTACTCTAACTGTCACTTAAAAACATATATTTCAAGAGCTGTTGATTAGTCTTCATTTTCTGGATACATTTCTAAAACGTAATTTTTATTCCCTTACTTCACTTTAGATATCATTAGTTTATATTTGTGAAAATAAAATATTAGTATGAGGGGTTTTGTGGAGATTGTACAATTTTCAATAGTTTAAATCAAGAACCGATCTTAGATAGATCACCAACGAAAATCTGAAAACATTAGACGGCCATTTCGTTCAAGCATGAGATTGCACAGCAGCGCTCATCCATGAGCCAGTGACTGGGAGTTGAATCCAAAGCCTTCTGTCTCGCGTACTAATGCTTAACCTCTAGATCCTTGAGCTGGCAATGTCATGAATTGATTGAAGTTAAACATAAAAATCGTTAGGTGTCGGCATTCATACACGAGTTCAAAGGTCCTGAGTTCGATCCCCAGTTGAGGTGCCTTTGATACACACTGCTGAGAAGTCCTATGCTTGGACGAAATGGCCGCCAAGTGCTTCCAAGTTTTTGATGGTGGTCTAGCTAAATTCACTTTATGATTTAAACCATAAAAATAATAAATATCCTAGTATTTATGCGATAAAATACTTAAATTAACTTAACTAATTATTATAAATCATTTATCCCATATTTTCAATAGGATCAATCATCTGGATTGAAACGACCTCGTAAAACAAACCAACTTCTATTAAAAGAGAATAGTTTATCGGGAAACGGAGTGGAATCCAGTGAAACTGTTTCCGTTGTCGGTAGTAATAGTTCTAGTGTGGTGTATGATGCTAGTTCTACTGCAGCTGGTACAATTTTAGACTTAACACCACCATGGCCTAATGCTAATAAAAAAATGTTACGTATTATGCGTACTTATTCAGAAGATGGACATCAATATACTAGAACAGAACTTGTTCCATGGTCACCTGTTGTAGAGATTTATTTGAAAATACGTCAAACTCGTGATGATGATTTCATTCATAATTTTGTCGATTCAGATAATCATTTCCGTGAACAACAAAGAAAAGAAAAGAGAAGATTACAAGTAATAAATTATTGTAAATTAATATTATTATTCTATTTGTAACTGTTTCTTATCTTACCGTTTGTTGATGTAAAGAACTATAATTTATCAGTTTTCTTAGGCATATGTCCATACGTATCTCGTTATTTCCTTATAGTCTCTAGTTTTAGTAAATTTGAATAGTTGTATTTAAAGCGAAAGTTTATGCGTTTGTGTCCCAGTATGAACATAAGCATTAGAATGTGGCAGATAAATCCATCTGACTAGTCCGAAAATTGAACGAAATGCACATTTTAGGTTACATTGTCAGCTACTACTCAACTTTTCTAATGTAGTATTCTGTTTTGTTTCTCATGAGGATTGTACTTTTTCTGTTGTACATGCTATATCTACTGCTGAAATGCTTGATAATTTTTTTCATCCAAGTTTTAATATGAAAGACATTTCATATTAAACAGTGATTATTAGTACCCATTTCAAAAACATAAAATTCTGCAAACATCGTCTCTTTTTAAAAAATAATTGTGTTCATTGTTCGATACTTTCCTTTAATCTGGATATAATATCGTTAAGATACTTTGTTAAATAATTTTCTGTGACGGTAGCAAACGTTTTATTCAACTATGTACTAAAAGCGTTTTAAATCATATTCGTAAATAATATTAGTAGGATTTTGCTACCAGTATAGAATTTATCGACCTCTTTACATTCTATTCTATCCAACATTAACAACCATAGCTACTCATCCCAAGTTCTTTTTTGTATCTCTATGAGATAGCTAAAGCAAAATTGCACAGCTACTTATTTTTTTGTTTTTGAAGCAATACATATCAAAATGAACTGTTAATATACTAGTCTTTAACTTCCTATCAAATTAAACCTAGAAACCAATTTAGACACTTTTCATAGAAACCATCATAAGATCATAACCAAATGATCAAATTATGCGTAAATTCATGAAACTAAAAGATGAGGTTTGTATGAAAATGTGATTACTTACTTATTTAATTATGCCTCGTGGAGCATAGGCCGCCGACCAGGATTCTCTAACCAACTTTGTCTTGGGTTCTGTTGTCCAACTATTACCAAATGCTATTCATTCTTCGATTCCCGGCGTAATGTGTTCTTTGGTCTACCTCTTTTCCTTTTGCCTTGAGAATGATGCAGTTTGGTGATCTTCGTAAAGTATGTCCTATCCAATTCAAACTTTTTTCCTAATTCCCTCTTCATCTGGGACCTGGTTTGTTCACTGCCACAGTAGGTTGCTACTGATAGTGTTTGGCCAACCGATCTGGGGTATAGTGCGTAGGCAACTGCTCATAAACACATATTCTAACACAAATATTATGAATTTTATAACATCAAATCGTATAGTGCTCAGACGTCAGATAGGCTGGAAAAAACAGCAGAAGGCATTTGCAACAAATACCACAAAATACAAAGAACACAGCTATGTCAAGTGCGAATATCAGAGTTTAATACGGATTGACTAAGTACTGTATTTCAAGACTAAACAAGCAGTGCAAAATAGTAAAACTTTAATGAACAACATAAATAGAGGAAGCTGCGAAATTTTACGGTAAAGAAATAAAGACCCAGGTAAAAAAAAACGTCGAATGCATTTAGGCTGACCACCCCTATAACTTGACACTAAACCAAGACAATGATATCAGTCCATGTAATCACTAAATTTTGTACTGAGCAATGTTAATAGTTGTAGACTGCTTTGGTGATTGCGCCTAATTAGTGGGTCGTTAGATACTTTGGGTGATGTGCCACTCTTAATCTCTGCTCTTAATATTTATTTCAATATATGTTTAATCTTCCCTCTCACTATTTACTTCCTTTTTATTTGAAGGATCAGCTACGTCGCCTTCGTAAACAACAACAAGTAATGCGAGAACGTGGCGGCGTCACTGGTAGTTCAATGCCAGGTATGAAATCCTTAGGATTATCAAACAAGGTAAACCGTCATAGACGTCATAAAACACTTACGGAAGCATTAATCAAAATGCGTTGCGGTGCTTGTGGTCAAACAGGTAATAAAAAGTTTTGTTAGTTCGTATCTTTCATTGTACAATTTAGATAGATATCGTTTAGTCTGTTTAGTTTTTAATTACTCACATTTTAATCGAGATTACGCAGTCTCAAGTAATAAATTTCTATGGATTTTCGTTTGTGTTCCTAAATTTAAATTGCATATTATTACAATCTAATAGATATTAATCATCATAATGTTGTATAACGTCATTAAAACAGATGGTTAACTCATTTTGTTCATATATGTTTATTGGTTACAGGGATTAATAAAATTAGGTTACCTCCCCAAATTAACCGATAGAAATGAGTTAGAAGTAAATGTTATATCTACTAACTGGAAGCTCCTTTTTGTGGTATAGGCTGCTTATGTTCACAGATATAAGTAGTGTGTAGCACCAATCGGAAGCGGAGTACATATCAGCAGAAGGTTAAGAAGATTTGTTTTAGTAACCAGAATCGAACATATATACGTGAATGCGTAGAATAGCAAGTTATACCATAAAATCTTTTTGTAAGAATGAAACGATTTACTTCATAATTTTCTAAAGGTATCTAATTCAAAAAGTTTTTTAATCTAAACCGCTCTAGTAAACTAAATGACAAATAAATAAATGGACTGTCTTTTTAAGTGAGGCATTCAATATATGATTATTCATTTATTTAAAACATACGGAATATGGCTATCGATGGAATCCAGGGCGTGTGTTACATCCTGCAAGGGACTCGTCAACCGTTCGTGTATGCATCTCAGAGTTGATGTTCACTCCATGGGGTTCAAACCCAGTGACTGACCATCTGATCTCAGTAGCTAAACGAATAACGTGTTGGAGTGTAAAGACACAGGTTTGAATCCTGGAGTGAACATCAACTCTAGGATGTAGGTACACCCAGTTGACAGGTCCCAAATAGAAAGAAAAGTGCGTTCTGGTTTCCTTTGCTAAATACATCCCACCCATTCCATATAAACTTCTGACAATTGCTATATCGAGCCAATTCACACAGGATGCACACATCCAATTAAAACTGATCAAAGTTCAGTTAAATATGTAGCGTTTCGACAATAACGTGATCTATGCAAGCTTCCTTGGCATAAATCTTAGTAAACATATGTTATGTGAAACTAAAACTGAGAATATTAACGGTGTTCCAGTGAATTATTAGACCATGTGTAAAAAGTACTACGGCTTCAATAACTTTATGATTATCGTTTAATAGTAGTCCACTATAGCGATTTCGTTAATTCACATTCTAAAGGTCGTAATAACAATTTTCAAGAGTTGTTGAACAGATCGGGGAGAAATATTAATTACAGGTATATGGAACACTTCAGTAAATGATACTATATGCCCAATATAGACAAGTATTTGTATAGTAACTGTCTTGATTTATCAATAGTCTAAACAAAATAATTAAACTCTGGTGAAATTCTTTTTTATAGAGATCAATTAATGTTTAATTTAATTTAGCAGATACATATATTTCGACTAGGTGTTCAATGTCAAAGATGCTCATTAAATTCGTATTCATCCAGTTGACTATTTTTAAAGTCATTATAATTTACACAGATTGAAATCATGAGTCAGTTGAAGCTAGACCACCATTGAAAATCTCCACAAACCCCTTCTGATGATAATCACCTGCTCACTAGTGACTGACTTCAAGAGATACCCCTGGAGTTCTAGTGGGAAGCCGTTACCAGTGGAGTACAACCAGGTCTGTTGTGAGATATCAGCTCACTGAAGATAATGGTATATGGTGGCACAACTTCTTGGATTGGTTGAAGTTAGACATTAACACCGTTGGATGCCGGCCCAGTGGTCTAATGGTCAAGTGCTCGCGCGCGAAGCCAGTAGATCGTGGGCTCGAACCCCGCGGGTGCGGGGTCGTGAATGTGTACTGCTGAGGAGTCCCACACTAGGACGAAACGGCCGTCCAGTGCTTCCAGGTTTCCCATGGTGGTCTAGCTTCAACTGACTCATGATTGCAATCTGTGAAAATTTCTAAAATCTCCACAAACCCCTTCTGATTATAATTCACATTGACATAATAAATGTTTCTGTGTTTCTTTTTCACTTAATTAACTGTAAATTATATGAAATGCTAATCATAATGAATTGTTTATTTGGAACAGTTTAGAGACTGTATATACAACAATTGTGAGATATAGGTATATTTATAGATTACTTAATTCAATTACTTTTAACTAACTATAAAGATCGTATATCTCAAATTTGTAACACCCAAGATATTGGTCATATTGTTTGTGTTATCTGATGATCAATTCAAATTCTTATAAAATAATTCAACATTTAAGGTCTTATCTATATTGTAATTTGAGTGATTCAGCGATGGCTTCCTTCTAGTTTCAATCGATTCTCAGTTAAGAAGCTTTAAATCAAAACTTATATGATTATTTATTTCACTAATTGTTTCCAATGATTTAGGTCATATGCGTACCAATAAAGAATGTCCAATGTATGGACGATCTAATACATCATCATCTCTTCATAATGAAGGAGGAATTCGAAGAACAGCTGCAGAACGTGCTCAACTTCGTACACAAACAACTATTCGTAATATGTCTCGTTCTGGTGATTTAAATTCTTTGGAATCTAGATCAGATGATAGAGAAATTGGTTTCTTAGAAAATTATGGTAATAGTCGAAAAATTGAACCAGATACTATTGCCGCAGCTCAAGCATTAGCTTCTCGTCCAGTCTGTGAATTATTAGCAGAACAAGAAAAGGAAGAGAAAGCGAACTATAGTAATGATTTAGATAATTCTGATGTTAAACATTTAAGTAAAGATTCAGATGATTTTGATGAATCATCTATGCATGGAGTTTTAGGCGAAAATGATATGACGGTTAGTGTCTTTTTTCTCGTTTTTACATTTGTTTACTTGTTCACGATATAGTTTAATAAGAATGGACTCGGGGAAAAATACTACTTTCCCTGAATAAAGTAATCATAGGAAAGACTGAATAATTAATCAATGTATTTCACCGTTAAGTATTATATTTTACAATGCATCTACCTACATATAGCCTTATTGAACTCCATTGATCTGTGTATATCAATCTTGTTTAATCTAATTTCGATATTATTTGGATCTTAATTAACGAAACTTATCAGTCAGAGTAGTTGATGGTTTTGCTAGTTGGTTGAAAGTAGTCAATAGGAAACCCTAGATTAAGATTCGTGCAAGTTGACACTCGTCAATAAGGTGTACATGAAATTTCGAGGGAACCTCTGTAGGATTCGAACTTTCGTCATCCTAATTCATAGTTTGAGACGTTACCTTTGATTATGAGGTAAAGTAAAAGCCAGCTATTATCGTTATCCGGTTGTCCAAACCTATGTAAATTGTGGAGCAGATCTCAAAACTGCAATCAAATGCTTGAGTGTTGTACAACCACTAAACTACCATTCTATACATTGATAATTTTATACTCTTGTACATTGTTATACACCATACTCACCATTAAAACGTTGTCCAATTAATTATCAATCAAACTATTAATAACCACCATAACTAACAGACTGATTAAATTTTCTCTATCGAAAGGGAATTCAGTGATATGAGTTGAAATTGATTTTGAAACCCGACTTATGATAAGGTTCGATCTAGTATCTCAGCTTAGTTCAGACTAAATCATCAAACTTTTAAAAATTTAACTATCAATAAAATAAAAAGACTCACGTCAATTATTGTCGGTCGAAGTAAAATAATAGTTTTAGTAAGAATTCGATGTTTTGTTTGATGGTACTTGTAAGATGAGAATTGATATGGATGGCCAATCAGAAATGACCTGAAGGACAGGTGCATTTTATTGGCTAAGAAATGGATCAATTTCCTAAGGACTAGAGTGGTATGTATATGAATATTTGTGCATTTCATTCGGTAGCCGAATACACTTTCTCACTCACTCTTATGTTCTCGCTCGAGTAGTCAGTTGAAGAGTTAGCGCGTAGAGCACACCGTGTATCGGTTTCAGAATTTGGACACCGCTCGTCGCAACACCAGCACATTAGTGAAACTATTTATTGAAAGTATAAATGCTTCCTCGCTTTTATGATATGGCCAATTGTATGTGTAAACTGTAATAATTTTAACACTTTTTTTTTCTGTAACCATATAAATAAAGGAAAGCAGCTAAGAAAAAAAACTTGTTAAATAAGTTTATGCTCATTCAAAATAATTTCTCTCTTTATTGTTTGGAGTATGGAATAATCTTAGTCAAACAACCATTAAAAATCATATAATCATTAATAACTTATTTTGGCAGGTAATTCCTGAAGTTCTCGTGAGGAACCATGATCAATTGAGTTCAACAATTATGTTGAGTATAAGGCAAACCACTCACTAATGATGCTGAAAAGCTATTGAACAATATTACAAATCATTTGAAGTTAAACTTGTTGACTAGTAAATCCTGCCTCATTGGTTTAAATGTTAAGAGCTAGTCACAAAAGCTGGTGTTGAAATAGACCTGCTATGGGGTTGTTTTATTTATTTATTTATTTGAACACATAATTATTGGTACAAGGGGGCACCAGATATATATACGCAAATTGAAGGAAGCCAGTTTGAATGGTTCACGTGGTTTCAGAAAAATTGTTTCAGTATTCGTATTCGGTGGTAGCATTCAATTTTCGACCAGTTAGTGACTCGAGATCGTTTAGATAAAACAGAATTTCCACCATAAGCGAGTTGCTGTATAAGGTGAAAAGTAAAGATACGCAAGGTGAGAATGGGAGAGGGTAGATAAATGACGTAGTACAAAAAAATAATAATAAAAGTGAATGTTATCAAATGGGCATGGGTTATTTGAATTGTAATAGGTGTGAGAGCAGTATATCTAATAATCATTGTCATTTCATTTTAATTATGTGAGGGCTATAATACTGCCCAGTAGTTGCCCAGACCGAAGCAGGTGGTTTTCTTAGGAAGCCACACCCAGAGCCTTTGACCTAAAGATCTGACCCACAAGGCAGTGGAGAACGTGAGGAGATGCAGTTCCATGGTAGCCGGTGACCAATAATTGGTTCATACGCCATGTGTTCAGTCAGGATAGTAGATCCCATGTGCACCATTGGTTTGGGATCCGGCTAAAGCGCCGGACATTCGCTTTTCGTCCTCTCATTTTCGTAAAACTACACACTGCTACAGTTTCCATACTAGATCGAAATAACCGTTCACCACCTCCTGGTTTTCAATGATTGCTAAACAAAGATTAGTCCATGATATAAACTTAAAGAAGTAAAATTTCCGCTAACTTCCTATTTTACTTTCTTTTTTAATCTTTAACTGAATATCTTATTAGTCCATAACATTTAAACATAGTTCTCTATCCACATCCACGCAATCTTTTTTTTTCATTTATAGGTTGAAGGAACAAAATTAAAACTTCACTCTGGTTTAACTAAATACATTAAAGAACAAAATCGTCGTAATCTAAAATTAAAAATACGCCGTCAATTACTCGATCGTTTAGATGCGGCAGCTGCTGTTGTTCAGTCTGCAAATTCAAATAGACGTGGACTAATGAGTACTACAGGTCGCGGTGGTGGTGGAAGAAATCGTCGAACTAGTTTAAGTATGAATGATGATGATTTTCCAACAAGCATTAAACACCGTGGGAATAGACGCCGTATTGATCCTCGTGTTGCGTTAAATCATATTTTTGAAGGAATCTACAAGGTAATTTATTGGACTTTTGTTTCTCATATTTTAGGTCTGTTTGAGGTTGTCAAAAAATACTTTGATCTTCTCTCTATCCTAGTAACAAGGATAACTGTTTTATACTTACTACTTTCACTGGACTCATGATCTCAGTTTACACAATATATTTTTAACTCAAATCAGTATTTTCGGAGCTAAATATATTTTTCATTCGAATTCTTCATATTTTGTGTTTGTCAATATTAAGTTGTGTCTATATTTTATTTACTCTGAAAAAGTGACTTACATTCAGTCACGAAACGTCAGAAATACGATTTTTCTGCTCATTAAGATAAAACAAAAAATATATTTATTATTAACTCTGTACCCAATGCTCAATTTGTTGGAAACTGTCAAGTCCAACTTTGGCATATTCATGTCTGTTTTTACACTACACAATCTAGCTATCTGTAAATATAAATATGTAACCAAGACCATTTTTCATGTCTTCCTAGTTCATATATTCATCGTATGGATTCCACTTACTTCCATTTGAGACACCTGACTTTGATTTCCACTTCAGTCACCAAGTACTATTACCCAAGAAATATTGTTCTTTGTTAAAACCTATTCGTAATAGTTTAATTACCCAAGTTTTGGCTAATTTCTTTAAGTATTTGACATTTATCTAGTTATCAGTCCACTTCTTACTCAGTTTTATCAACCAGATAAGCTAAATCTTGTATGCTTTACATAAACCTACATATATCTTGTCACTGAAAACAATTCATATCGCAATTTGCTCCTTTCTAATTTTCATTGATTTGGATCAAAACTTGACTGTGGAACTTGTGTCATGACATCTTCGTTCATTATTCATATCTGCAAACGGTCGATCAATCGTGTAAACGTCAACAACTCGTGATATATATTTTCTCCAAACTTAATTCATCATCCTTATGTAATTAAAAAGTCCTTCAACCACATTTCATTGTAGTTTCTTTGATATCTACTGGAGATAAATTAATCTTTCTTTAAATTTGTTCTCCATTATTTCAAGGGATTCATCTATGAACTTTTGGTTTCAGTGTTTAACACATAAGTTAGTGAAAAAAAATGTCATGAGTCTATTTCCATCGACATTCTAGATTTCATGTGTATCGTTGGTTTAAAATTGGAGTTTTTTCAGCTCCTTCATCTATTCACCAATTCAATTTTTGTCCATCAAATTTCTATTTCATTCACTGTGTAAAGGAAGTGTGATTTTTATTCAATCTTCATTGTAATGTTTATCTTCAGTCAGCAAAATTTAAATATTCCAGTTAGTTGTGTTTAGCATAGAACCAGACACAAATGGTCCATCCTTAGTTGACTGACTACATCAGTATAACGAGTTGAAATCGAAATTATGAATAGCAAACGTTTGAAATCAGTAGTATTACCAATAATATTGAAAAAGACTAATTGTAAAAGATATTGTTTGAGAAAATGTAATGAATGTATTAATACCGAAAATTGAAATTTAAGAGATAAGAAATGACCAAATTTTCACCACTTTGATTAATTTTTAAACCATCACATAGCATTCTCAATCACTGAAAAGTATCTTCGTGTGAATCCTAAATATGTAATCCGCACTTGCTAACTTAAATCAGTAGTTAATGACTACAGATTTATGCTACGTTTTGTTTCGTCCATTAATAGCTTTCTTCCAACATTTTCTTATGCTAGACATTATTACGTTTGACTATATACAGTGGTTGTTTATATATGTCACATGTCTCATTTTTCTCAGTTTAAGTAATTTCCAACTTTTAAATATGCTTTAATTTTCTTTTTTTCTTTCCACCTCTTTTCAAATATGCAGGGCCTTACTCAAATTCCTGGTTATAAGATATTTATGCATCCTGTTAAGGAGAAAGATTTTCCGAATTATTATTCTCAAATTGAAACTCCAATGGATTTATCACAAATACGTATGAAAATTAATGAGAACAGTTATGCTACACGTGAAGAATTTTTGTCAGATATTCGACTCATTTATAATAATTCGTCGAAATTCAATGGTATGTTTATATATATATATATATATATATATATATATATATATATATATATATATATATATTCCCGGTGTGTGCATATATTTATAATTTATTAATACCGTTGCATACATTAATTTATAAATATCATATCCGATTTGATTTGGTGCAACACTTTATATCAAGTACAGATTTATGTACCCGATTTTTAGTCACCCTTTAGTTATGTAACTGCACAAAAAAGCCCAGGTCGGTGGCCTATGCTATAAGATAGGTGGAAGGCAAATAAGTTTAATTTTGTAAGATCAATTGAAACTTCAGAATTTTCCAAATCAAACTAGGTCCGGTAAGATTTGAACCTATAGTTTTTGTTATCTGATATCTATTCTGATGATTCTAGGGAAATTGTATCAGCTCTTTTGTTTTTATGTGAATATGTATGTATTTACTGTTTGATTCCTATCCTTTATTTTGAGAAAAACCTCATCAAATTTTACTGATTTAATTGTGGTTAAGAGTGTAAGCATCTTGAAGTCATGTGGTTCAGTCGTCTAAGCATCAGAAGCATAAGTTGTAAGGACCTTTCTAGTCCTAAGCTATGTGTTCAAAAGAAAGCATGTATGACATGTCTTCCGTAACTTGGCCAGTTAAGGACCAAGTGTGTTAGTAATTCGATTATAAGATAACTCAGTTCGACAATTACATATACCTCCTTCCGCAAAGAAAAACAATGTTTTCAGGAATTTATTTGACTTAATTATTTTTTTACTATTCGTAGCTTTAATCGCAGAGCAACTTTAGTTAGACAGCCCTTGAAAACCAGAGAATACTAGCCAGTTGTATCGTTGTAGCATGAGTCTCCTCTCGAGTACATATCCATGACTGCATTTAAGATCGAACCCAGTCCTTTCAGAGAACGTTTGCTTCAGAAAATTGAGTTAACACCCAGTGGTTGATATCTCCGGACTGAATGAATTCATTATACTAGTTAACTATCTCTGATTTATCTCATATCATTTTATACCATTCATAATCTTTGATCGAACATTAGATGTGTTTGTTGACCATATTACTGTCTCCCTCACTTTACGTTACTTATTCATCTACTTATTTATTGAGATTAAGAATTTCTCAATTTCAGTTGGTCTATAAACTGATTCAAGTATAAAGTACATACTACTAGTAATTTCAACAGTTGAAACAGTAACTAACAAACTAACCTCCTACAAACAATCGCAAATTCATTAGTAGGAGTATGTAATTTTCTATTAAACAAGTTAATGGCTATCTGAACTCAGTAGCTCAGTATGGAAGTTGACACTGGGGTACCACTTAAACCGTCTGACAAGTTACAAATAGGACAAAATATCCCTCCCCGTTTCTACTCCTACCTATATATCAAATACCGAATTCATAACCTCTATTTTTAAATTTATATTTACCGCATACTTGGTCATTCCCTATGATCGTCAATTTGAAATAACAGCCTCAGTAAAGAGTATTTCCCGTCCATATGTTTATATAGTAATATAACCGGAATTTTTTCAAAGCAATAACTTAGTAGCATTAATCCTTTGATTTATTATTGTTTGTCTTCTTCCTTTAATATTTTTTTCCTAGGTCGCTATAGTGCATACACCGAAACAGCCATGAAGATGTGTTCACACGTTATGGAACAATTTTGTCATAAAGAATTAAAATTAATGCGATTAGAATCACTAGTTAATCCTTTGTTGGATGAAGATGATCTAGTCGGATTAAGCTATTTATTACAACAAGCTATTGAGGCTATGCGTGGAGTTGAGCATAGTAGACCATTCCATATACCAGTTGATAAAAGAAGATATCCGGTAAATTTTTATGCTAAAATTTGAATTAATATACTGTTAGATTCACCAGAAGAATGTACCAGCAAATGATTAAATCCAACAGACTACATTGCGTTCTAGGAATATTTACGTGTGAATATATTTATAAATAACAAATGGTTCTACAATGAGTGATCATTTGCTGAAATTTACTTTGAATTATTACTTAGCAATTACATGGAAAATTATACAATTAGAAGCTAATCACTCATTAGTAGCACAGTTTAAAACACAAATCTCATAGCTAATACTGTATTTGAAAATGCTAAAGCTACATGGAGTAACTTGTGACGTGATGGCATCCTTGAGGAGCACGTTTTTAAAGACATTTCCAAGTTTCAGGATGGGTTTTTTTAAAATCCATAAATGATACACTATTAGTATAACACTTAACACTTAGAAATTTTTAGAAGTAATAATTCATTATCGTTCCTCAGACAGACCGTCTTAAAACTACTGATTGTACCATTCGTGTCGACATTTTTATACTTATAATTGGTTGTGTTCTGTTCAACAACCACTTACATATATTGATGGGACCTTCGTTAACATATGGGATTTGTGAAAGTTATTACGTACCAGTGGCTGATTTAGAGAGGTAACTCCCAGAGTTCTACTGAGAAGTTTCGACCAGATGTGTCGAATGAGTCAGTTACTTCCCTTTGTTATTAGATGGTTACATAATGTTGAAAATTGATTCAAATTAGAAAACGTAAACCAATAGATGCCGAGTCAATGTTCTAAAAGTTAAGTGATTGTCACATGACATAAAGCTCCTGTGTTCCGTCCCCTGTGTGGTCACTGCTGAAGAGTCCTATAAAAGAACAGAACGACAGTCCAGTGTTCCCAGCTTTTTAATAATTATTTTGCTTAGATTGGTTCAAAATATAAGTAAAGAATATAGCTATATTATCTCTCTAATAATTAATTTTGAGCAATTGACTTCAACCTTTTTATGATTGTCCTACTTCTTTAATCATTATCCAAATTTTGATTCATTTCAAACATTTATAGGACTATTATAAAATTATCAGTAATCCAATGGATTTATCAACCCTTGAAAAATTAGTGAAAGAGAATCGATTTCGATCACGTGAAGAATTCTTTGTACAAATTGAATTAATTCTATCCAATTGTATTACATTCAATGGAAATGAAAGTCCATTAACTGAGATTGCACAAAAAATGTTACAAGCTGCTCGTACACGATTAGAACAAGATAAAGAAACATTAGATACAATTGAAGCAAATATACGAAGGTCAGTCGGTTTTATTTGTATAAAAAATAAAATATTATATGGCTATTTTTGTTTCATTATCTTACTAATACGAATAGACTTAGAGTAATGAAGAATATCAGCTGGAGCTGAAAGAAATTGAAACTACCGTTTTTACATTATACTACTGTTCTTATTCGCAGTTTGACCCAAGCATCGTACTTTCATTTGAACCTTATTTCAATTGGAAGTAGTTAGTAAAATGACTAGATCATTGTGAATTGTTAGTGTTCATTTTTTGAGATACCGCGAAATATATAAAGATTTCAAGTAAAGTTCTAGATAATAATACTAATAATAATACTAATAATAATGCAACCGTCTCACCAACCGCAAGTCCGTGAACTCGGGTTGGGACCACTTTCAGTGTGGAAGCTAGTTATATATATATATATATATATATATATATATATATATAATGTTCTTTATTGAACAGGTATTGTTCGGTTGTGTAGTATCGATCGTGAGTAGATTTCTTCTTTACGTCTCATTGGACATTACTAATTTCTAGCTTCGTATGTTATCCATTACTAAAAATAATTCAATTATTAACAGTTAATCAGCTGATTTTTCCCACCATGTGAAAAATCTTTGTTTTTCGATAAATGTTTCTACGATACCTTATTCATTGATTATTTTTTTTAAGTTTAATTAGTAAATGGATCATGTCTGATGATTGGATGGATATTAATTTCCCTAAAATATTGTTTCCAAGCTATATATTTAGTCTTAAAGTTCAAAAAATTTAAATAGGAATCTGTGATTGAAAAACAATTTTATAATGTGAATTCATGTACAGATTTGAACCCTGGCCCATGTAGTTCTGTTTAAGCAGTCAGAGCATTGTCATAAAAATATTATAGTTTAAAACTAAGTTACTACCAGGAAAACCTGAATCTATCCTATTTTTGTTGATAAACGTTAATGTCTTTCCTGTAGCTTCGGTCCCAATAAAATGTTTTCTAATTTCTATTTTTGTACAACCTCTACTATTTTTTGATTGGTTATCACTCTCAGTTTGCTCATTTCCCCGTTTCCCAAGCTCATGTTTTGCTACTATGTATACCACAGGTGTTTCATTTCAATTTTGACTGTTTGACCTTCAAAAATACAAGGTTTTTCCTCTACTTTTGTCTTCTTCCCGGGTTTCATCGTATTGAGGGTAATTATTGTAGTGTTGTGTGTACATGTTCCAGTAGCCATACTGTTGAGTTCACTTTAATCCCTATTTGTGTTAGAAGAAATTCCAGTCGTTCATAATTAGGAATTATTGTAAACTGTTAATAGTTTGTGCAGTTTGTTTTTGAAAATCTGACTTTAAAAACTGGATTAACATTAAAGTTTTGACAAAATTTACAGCTTTTAAATTCCCATGAATAGACAAACTCTTGTTCTATCTCCATATATATCATATCAACCAATTTTTTTCTAATTTGTACTGATATTACCTCTGATTTTATTGTTGCTTTTTATTTTACTTACTAGTCAATTAGAAAATGAACCATATACCGAATCAATTCCATCTCAAAATGGTCCTATAAATTCTCGTTCAAATATGCTGGAAAATCAAACTAATCAAAAAAGTACACATATAAAACCTTTGTCAACTACTAGTCGAATTAATCAAGTTTCTAAATTATTGAAACGTAAATCTATTAAATCAACATTATGTAAAAATAAAGACTTAAAAACAACAAAACGAAAGAAAACTCAAAGATTAAATACAACTATTGATAAAGAATCATTACATTATGATGCTAGTTATAATAGTTCTGATGGTCAAACAACTGATAGATCATTGAATAAAACACTTGATATTATCAATACTTCAGGTAGTGATAGGTTGTTACGTCAACGTTCAAGTGGAGCTTGGTATGGTGTTGACTTGGAATATGATGATGATGACGATGATGATGACAACGACTATGAGCAACATAAGGGGGATAACGTTAATCATCCCGATGACGATGAAAGTGATAATGATATTCTTAGAAAAACCTCGACTAAACAAGATATTAATGTTTCAAAGCGATGGACAATAAATGAAGAGAGTAGTGATTTATACACTTCAAAATCTGTTACATCACTTCGTAATGAATACACTTTATCTAAAGAACCAGATTCTGATCATACAGAAGATTCAAGTAAGTTGGTTAAACTTTATGTATTTACAACAATTATTCAAACGTTTTGTTAGTCTAACTACTAAACATCTTAAACATTTTTGATATCACTATTATTACGATAAAATTCTGCCTTCATTTAAAATTATCAGTTTAACTCAATTACCTTTGTTTTATTTTGTTAAAATGTCTCTAGTTGGTTAAATTGAAAACCCGTCCATACTACTTTTCATCTTCTCAGATCATTATTTTTCTCGTTACTGTTTTTTTAAACAATATTCTCCTCAAATTTCCATCTTTATCTGGGTTTTAGACCGGCAATAACCGTAGTAGGGATTCAGACAGAGTTAAGATCATTATTAATAACTAAATATTATATTGTACTCACTGAAAGTCTTGAGTTGGATTTCACGTAGGCCACTCAAATTTGCTACATAGTCTAAGAATATTATAGAGGTGGAATCATATATTAAATGGGTTTATAAATTAAAACAATTACTAATCATTAAACTGTAGATTTGAATTCCAATTCTGTCTACTTCGATTTAGATTAAAGTAGTATAACTTAAAGATGACTGAATAAACCTGTACACTCAGTAAATGAGTTATCATTTAGTATAACCAATAGTGCTAAATCTAACACGCTAACAAGTACGTTGTTGTCAAAATGAATTTCAATGTTTTTACATAGTTTTTCTTGTTCATAGTACAGGCATTATGTAGCAACTTGGATCGATGCAATATTTGTACCATTGTTTCTAATTTTCTAATGATTGATTATTATATTATATTTCAACTAAATATTTCTCCCGGACATTACGTCTACTGTTCGTTTGTTATTTGGTAAATTTTTTTACTGACAACTAATAAGTACAATTCGTATATATAGCAGATGATTGTCCATGCATACTTGTGTAGTACTTTATCATTTCACTCTGAGTTTTCATAATCCATGGTTGTGTCAGATTATAATTTTGATTATATATTGAGGTATTTTACTGTCGATAAACTAGTTATTGGAGAAAAAACAAATTTTATTCCCTTTGTTGGTTTGTAAAAATAGTCTAGAAAAATCACATATTACAAAGCTTATTATTCATATATGTCTTCATTACATTCATCTTACGCTTTTTTTCTTAAATGGAAAACATTATCAACAAAAAGTTTAATTTTATTAGAATCATAGACGGATCTAAGTTAGATCACTAGTGAAAATTTGCAAGCACTGGATGGCTGTCCCTTCCCAGTATGGGACACCCCATTAATGCGCATCCACTACCCAACAACCGTATGTGGACCTTCGGTCTTATGTGCGAAACCTTATCCTCTAGATCACTGAGTTGGGACTCAATGGTGTTGAATTCTAACCTTAATCAATACCAAATATTGCGTGACCATCTTCCATTGTCTTCGGTGAGTAACTTTCTCACACCCAACACGAATTAGCTCCATTGACTACGGCTTCTCACTAAAACTCCGGAAATTTCCTCTTGAAGCTAGTCACTAGTGAGGACATGATAATTATCATTAAGGAGTTATGGAAATTGTTGAATTTCATTGAAACGGCACTCCAGCGCTTCTAGGTTCTCGATGGCGCTCTAACCTATATCGGTTCATAAATTCAATGAAACTCAACAATCACCACAACCCCTTACTGAGAAATTGTAAGCATTGAAGATAGTCTTCATGGATGACAGTACAAACAACTGTTTAGCACAATACTTCCTTATTTCAATTGTTCAGATCATGAGTCAATTGAAGCTAGACCACCATGGAAAACCTGGAAGCACTGAACGGCCGTTTCTTCCTATTGTGGAACTCTTCACCAGTGCGCATCCACGATCCCGCCTCGCGGGATTCGAACCCAGGACCCACTGGTCTCGCACACGAGTATTTAACCACTAGACCACTGGGCTCGCCGGCATCGAACGTTGTTAATGTCTAACTTCAACTAATCCACGAAGTTGAGCGAAATATCCACCATTTTCATCAGTGAGTTACTATCTCACAACTGACCCGGTTGAACTTAATTGGAGCACTATTGAAAATCAGGGAATATCGGACGGCTGTTCTGTCCTAATATGTGGCTTCTCAAGTGTGTGCATCCCGAACCGAGATCAATCTGTAATACAACTAACATATTAAAATAATCTCTACAAAACTCCTTTATAACCACATTAATGACTTCGATATGTTTCTAAAGTTCTTGTGTGAAGTTTTGGCCAGTGAAGTTCAAATATGTAGGGAGTGAAACATTTGTCACCAATGACATTAGATAATCGTCACGCTATGTCACAGATAGGTTGAAGTGGAAATTGTACCATTGACATCGACTCAATGTTTCTACTGATTAAGTGTTTCCCGCGTCAACTGAAGATCCTGTATTCAATTCCTTGTGGGTCAAGGATCACACTTATGAAGAGTCCCGTACAAGAACGAAACACTTACCTAGTACTTCCCAGTTTCCCATGGTACTTTCATTGAGTTTGGATAATTACCGGAAATCGAAATTGTGATAGATGAGCGTACACAAATAAATTTGTTGATATTTCCAAACTTAACATGTATCATCGAACCGCGTATTTAATTTGAGAATAAATCATTTAGAAATACTACGGTTACTCAAATAAATAATCTATTTTTCACCTTCTACTGAGTATTTATACTGTTAAGCTGCTAAATAATTAGTTTTTATTCCCCATTCATAATTCTCATATCATTATTACTACTATTATTCAAGCTTCAGTGTTTTCCATAGATTCACTATTGAAATTAGTAACACATTTAGACTTGTTTAAATTTCATTTTTAAATTCCTTAACAGATTATATGGGACGTAGTACTGCTGGTCATGATGAGAATTCATTTGATTGGAATTGTCAAGAGGCGACCACTAGTCGAAGCCATGTAGCAAATGATCAATTAAGACAAATTATATCCAATCTAAGTGAACGTAGTTCCACTATAAGTGAACATACAATGGGAGATGATAATCTACAGCAATACGATTATGATAACAATCAAATTGTCGATGATTATGCTGATTACGATGTGGATAATTCGTTAAATTCTAGTCGAGAATTGCATTCCAATGGAAATTCACGACAAACAAACGATTGGAACCAATATACAAGTTTAACTAATGTTGAAGATGATGAAAATGATGGTAATGACTATGCTGACGATGGTGTGATTGAACTTCGTTCTCAACAAGATAAATTTCCTACTTATATTGATGAAGAAACTCGAGTAAGTTTTTTTTTACTGATCAGTAGTTTGATTGATTTAATTTCACAAAATTAAATTAACCGCGTACTCATATTGGTAGTGTCTAGCTGTTAAATGGATCAATTAAATTTTTCAATGAAATTCTTCTATCTGTATTAAGTAAACCAAGTCGAAAATGAGACATTAACATATGAACAACATTAATTAATATTTTCATTTCATGTCATAAGTTGATTGACGTTGACAGAATATAAATCATTGGATTCAAATTCATTTATCTCAAAGTAGGTAGGCAAGCATTGTATTGACTGTGAAACCTGAATATCATCCTGGATTATACTTGTTTTTGTTGACTAAATAATAATTTCAAATTCATTGCTGAAATCTTCCTATTCAACTACACTGTTAACGACTGTAAAATCTTACAATATTTTTTTGAATTCACGAACCGATCTAAATCAGACAACCATTGGAAACCTTAAAGCACTTGATTACTCTTTCATCTTAGTATGAGACTCTTCAGTATTGCGTATCTATGAGCCCACAACCCAGAATCTAATCTAAGACCCCTGACCTTGAATGTAGACGCTTGACGTCTAGGCCGCTGAGACAGTATCCAATTATGTGCAAGTGCAACTTCAGTCAATGCAAATTGTAAATTGCCAAGAGGTCAATTTTGTCATAAAAGCATGATCGGAAAAGAACTTGATTTATTAGCCGAACAAGTATTATAACAGAAAATATAATTATTTCAACTGGGACTGTTTAACAATTTTCAAAGTTCATGTTATAAATGCTGATGGATAATTTTCAATAGATTTTGAAGTAAGAAATACAATCTCGAGTAATAAAAAGAAACTGACTAGTCTAAAAAACAGTAAAAATAGATTAGACAAGTGGTTACAACTTTGACAGCACGGAAGTTACTAAAATATGTGCAGATAACTCAGACTACTAACAATTATCAAGTAGCATGAATAGTTCACAATAAGGATAAATGATGATACAAATCTCGGAAATAACGGAATAAATCGAAATCCTTTATATACCTATCTGCTTTCGGTCCTGTATGTATGATCGCCCTCCCCTAACATAACACATTTAATATAAGGGTATATATAAATTAAGATCTCAGATTAAAATAGGGACAGAAATGAATTGTATTGCAATCATGAACCGATCAATGTTAGATCACCATTGGAAACCTAGAAGCACTAAATGGCCGTTTCGTCCTAGTATGGAACTCAGGAGTGCGAATCCACGACCCCTCACACGAGACTCAAACCCAGGGCTTTCATTCTCGCGCGAACCCCCTGACCACTATAACCAATCCCATACTTCAGAAATGAATTGATCAAGGAATTAAAAACTTAAAGAAGTGAATGAAACAGTTATGTAGAAGACATTGTATTACCAATCGATTTTAACTTTCCGTTACTACTTTCATCATCCCTCCTTCCAATCTTTTTCTATCATAATTCAATAGTAAAAGTTGTAAAATCAGAGCAATCTGTTTTTCTACTCTTTATATACCTTCCAACAACCAGTTCATTTGAATTTCCAGACAATTTTTTTCAGGTTACTTTCATTTCTGTTGACCAATTAGTAAATAAGTAAAAATGGTTTTTATTACACAATCAACATTGAATATATATATATATATATATATATATATATATATATATATATATATATATATATATATATATATATGTAATCTCCCAGCTGAATAATAGAAATTTATAGTTTATTGTCTTATTTATTTATTCTCATTCCAACCTTACTCTGTTCTAATCACACTTCTGGCCAGATTCAATCATTTTTTTTATTTTTCTCAGACGTTCTTTGTTGTTGTTGTTTTTTCTCTTCCTTTTAACTCTCTCAAGTAAACAACACTTAGTTCACAACCACACTTATTGAAATGACCTTTTTTGTTGTATTGATAAATAGTCGGTTTTATTTTATTTTATTTTTTTGTTCTGTTTATTAAGCCAATGTTTACTTCAAATGTATATTACTATTATTATAACCACTGTTGTTGTTATTTGGCTTAATTTTATATAAATATATCAGTCCATCAGATTGTTTTGTTTGTTTGTTTATTTATTTGTTTACAGTAAAAAAAATTTATTTTTTTTTATTTTTAAACTGTTATTTCCATTTAGTTGATATAAATATTCAATCTTAAAAGAAAATGATGTCAGAATTTATTTTGTACATTAGTTGTGAATGCATTTTCGGTATTCACGTCATATCCTATTAACACCGTTGGATGCCGGCTCAGTGGTCTAATGGTTAAGTGCTCGCGCGAAGCCAGTAGGTCCTGGGTTCGAATCCCGCCGGTGGCGGGTTCGTGGATGCGCACTGATGAGGTGTTTCATACTAGGACGAAACGGCCGTCCAGTGCTTCCAGGTTTTCAATGGTGGTCTAGCTTCAACCTGTGTAATTTCCTAAAATCTCCACAAAACTCATTCTGATATCCTATTAAGTCTATTGTTCTTATTCACATTACGTAATCTAGTATTATAATCATTCAGTTACATCATCATGATTATTCCTTGTCCACATAGAACTAGTACTTTAACATATATATACACGACTGTACAGCTTGATAATAAATTCGTCGCAAAGAGACACCTTCACTGAACTTCAAATTTTCTATATTTGTAAATTTTTCTTAACGGAAGGTCTAGTTTTTTTTTCTTCTTGTAAAAACTGGTGATTTGGTAAGTTTTATAGAACATTTTGGTCATTTATTAGTGTATTTTTGATTAGTATAATATCCCACATTCCAAGCACCGATACAAATGATTCACAGAATTGTATCAGACTGTCAAAAACTATTAATAGTTTGTTTGTTTTTCACATCGGAAACGTTTTACTCCCAACTGATTGAGTTTCATTTTAGTAAATACTAAGAAAGTTCAATTTAGAAAAAAATATAATCAAGACTACTCAAGTTATTTTATTTCATTTATAAAACAAAATCTTCATATTAAAGATAATGTACATTACTAAAGAGATTATTGAAAAAAAATCATAATGACTCTGTTAAGTGGAGTTCATCACAATCATACAGTAAGTTATATGTTATGTGAATGGCTTAATGGTAAGGACATTGATTAATTCGATATGTATTATTCGGGTACTATTTCGACGAGTAGCTTACAAAATTACAAATGTTACATATTTGGTAAACATTAACTAGTATGAAACCTTGTCTTAGAATCGTTTATCAATCATCACCAGCAAACTTACATCAATACAAATTAAAAATACAACAACAATTACGAAGTTTTTTCTTGTTATTCATGTGCTCTAAAAAATAGATGGTATAATCAACACCGTTTGTTTTTACTTTAAACTGTATTTGAATATGATCTTAACTAAGGTGTATGATGAACAAATTATATCTGTCGGAAATTTTTACGTTTGCTTTATATTATGTATTGTGAAACAATAAGTGAAGAATAGTACTGTGTTTGCATAAATATGTTGTATTTACTCTGTATAAATATTGCACACATACTAGTCTCAAATTAGTTTTTCGTTGCATAGGACTATGTATTCACATACTCCTTCATTTTTTCTTCGCTGACCTGGCAAGTGCATGTTAATGTTCTCAACTTTGGGTTATTCTGCTTTTTTTTTGTTCTTGCGGTCTGATGATATATCCTACTTACCTATGTAGAAGCGAATGAAGAGAGGTTTGAACTTTACATCCGAATGCGTCAGACCTCGAATTCACTGTGTTTTTTTATTCTGTCTTAAATTAACTTCAGACGACTTCCACTAACAATGATAAAATGACAATAATGATGATAATCAAAAACTATTTTTTTAAAATAGGGTCAAGGTCATTGTGTTTGTTTTTCTACATGGATTCATTCCAACTTATAGTAAGTACACTTATATACAACCATATAAATAAATGAAAATTCATCACTACTGTTATCATAATATTGTTTTGTTTTGTCTTCATTTTGTTTATTATTGTTATTCATTTATTCTTAATATGTTGCTTTGTGTGTTTTTTAAAAGCCCGCCTACCTTGTACAAATCATATTTTGTATTTTATGTTTATCTGTTTTTGACCTTAGACATTGATTTTTCTTAATCATCATGGCCTTAAGTGAATCCTCTCTATATATGTATTAACATACATACATACATACACACACACACTAATATATCCTAACTCTATACCTTGCGTATTGTGTACAGGAAGTTTTTATCTGCCTCTCTTCTTTGTGATATTAGCGATTTGACCTGCCCGCAAATAAGGTTAAGTGTTTGTTCACTATGCTTATTCGAATGTTGTCGATGATTTATTTTGGCCTACTTCGTCATCCACTTAATAAACAGGTAACAAATAATTTCAGATAGCATAAGTTTAGTTAGTTAAGACATTAGAGTTGATTAATATTAGCTAGCTGTTTCGCCCTAATGTGCGACTCTTTTTCAGTACTAGTCTATGTCCTCGCCAGTGACACAGTCTAGGACCTCCGGGTCTTGAGGGGGGGCTAACATTCAGACCATTGAGTTGGCACGCAATCGTTTACATTTCCGACTTATTCCGATAAAATTGGAAAGATAGTTGTGTAATATCGCAAATCTAATGCAGTTAGACACATAAATCATTGCATGCTAACCCAGATGTCTGAAGGTTAAGAGCTTACTGCGACACCCGGAGGTCCTAGGTTCGATTCTCGGTGAAACATTGGTGTGCACCGCTAGAGAGTCCCATATTAAGACGAAACAATCGTACATCGCTCTCTGATTTTCAACAGTTATCTAACTAAGATCTACTATCTAGAAACAATCTATAGCGTTTCGAATGTGAGGCATTAGTAGCACTAGTTTACTGTTTTTTCCTAGTTTGAAACTCCTCAGCATTACAAGCTTCTGAAGCAACACAGGATGATCGTCAGGGTCACGATAAAAATATTTTCCAAATTGTACCGAAGAATCATAATTTTACGCATATATTTTCGAAATTCTTTAATTAGTGATTTACAGTCTCCTCCTCCTTTTCCAATGCATAGATAATGTCTTTCTTATTTCGGGTTGAATTTATTCCAATGTTTATCGTATTCATTTTTTCTGATAACAAACATATCATGAAAGCAATAGAGACTAGAATTTATGTATGAACAAATGAACTCGAATTATAGTTTTATTTCATGATTAAATCTGTCTTAATAGCAACATGCAACCCACCATCAACAACCTCATTATTATTATTATTAGTGTCGTTCTTTTTTTTCTTCAAAATACTTAGTTTTCTGCCGGTATTTCAGAAATCCCAGTATCTACCACAGCTAATACAAGTCATTTGGATTATTCTCAATTAGATTTAAATGATGATTTAGTTGCAAAAGATTTACAATTAACTGATTCAGATGATGATGGTGATAGTAGTTTAACTGGTCAAGGTGGTGAATTATGTACTGATGAGAATGATGCAACTGTTGTGTCTTATGTAAGTATCATTTTCTTTTATTTTTATGATTTTGTGTTAGCAAATTATGCTGGTAGTAATGAGTACTATCATAATTTAATCGTAATTATTTAGTAAATATATGAATAGACAACCATATTCATTTGTAATGTGAGAAAAAGATATGTAATTTAAAATTTCGAGAGTTGATAGTAAACTGAATTATTCAAATGATACTTTCCAATTACCATTGACTTCTTTCAACATGAACTTTAAATAAGAAAAAGAGAATTCAGCGAAGATTTTCTTTCCGACGAAACCATTTACTTAAGCTGTACATCCGTATACATATATAGTTATAGGATAGAAAAGATTGCATTACAAAAATAGATTCGAGAATAAATAACGTAACCTCATTTGTTATTTATTCTCGAATCCAATAAATGAATATCATAAAATAACATAAAATAGTGGAGATACGTTAAAACTGACTTTTTCTGTCTTTATCAGTATAGGGGTTGTGGAGATTATTAAGTTTTTGATTGAGATCATGAACCGAGTGATGTTAGACCACCGTTGAAAACCTGGAAGCACTGGACAGACGTTTTGGTCCTATTATCGGACTTCTCAGGAGTTCGCATCCACGATCCCGCTCACGGGGTTCGAACCCAGGGCCTTCAGTCTCGCGCTCGTATGCTTAACCTACTGGACCACTGAGTTGGCCGGCATCCAGTAGTGCTAGTGTCTAACATCAACCAATCCACGAAGTTGTGCGACCATCTTCCATTGTACTGAGGCAAATACCTGTCTCTACCCGACACGGATTAGCTTCACTGGTCACGGCTTCTCACTAGAACTCCGAGAATTCGCTCACAAAGCTAGCCACTAGTGAGCGCACAAATGGATACAAAGGAATGTTACATTGAATCAACATAATAATAGGTGAAAACATAATCTCGCTACTTATTCTCTTCTAATAACTGTATATGATGAATAATAAATCAAAAGAAATTTTGCCGTTAGAATAACTAGACAGAAATATCCTGATCAACTTTAAACCTAATTATCAAAATTTACCTTACTGTTTAATCTCTTTTTAAGAATTTCTATTTCTTCAAATTTCCATTTATTCACAGAATATCGACCAAGACCATGATGATGACGATAACCAAGTGCATCGAAACACCATACTCCAATATACAGAATATCATCAAAACGAATCCGAAATGATTTCTCACAATGATAATTCATTTACAACATATAATGTACAGCATAGACAACGTCTCGATCATGATGATGGTAATAATAATAATAATAATCGTCCTACTTTTTTCATCAGTGATGATGACGATGATAATTAAAATACTTGATAAATGCATTAATTCCTTACAACAACAAAAAAAGAAAACTCAATGCATTGTAACTTATTGTCTAATCCGTTACATTTCCTTCCAACCACTTTAGTATTACTAATACTGTTGTTTGTATATTCACTGCCATTGTACTTGGGAAAAAAAATCATAATCATTTTTTTTTAATTTTCATTAGTTCATGTGGAGAAAAATAGGTTTTATTGTTTTTCCCAAAAAAATTTTTTTTTCGCATACTCATATATCTTCTTGATATTTTAGCTGTACAGTATTAGATTTTATATTACTATTGTAAATATTTTGTTGTACATTTTTCTTTGGTTAAAAATGAAAAAAAAGTCAATTTTGAATCAACCGAATTCATGTTTAGTTAGATTTAAATCTCAACATGGGGACACTTATTAATTATTTAATTGGCTGGAGAAATTGTCATTTAACTCTTGAGTCACTGATTCGAACCTGGCTTCAACTTCATAATCTGAAAATTGATCACTAGTGACGAGGCCTAAAGACCCTGCATTCAGTCGCTTGTAGGATCATGGAAGCTCCTTGCTGAAGAATCTCAAGCTAGGAAAACAATAACTGTCTAGTGCCTTATAGACTGCAGCTGGCATTCATCTGTGGCAAAAAAAACCTAATTTTAACATTGAACTAATCACTGCAAACCACTAAGCTAAACAAAAACATCAGGGTCGGAATAACAAAAAAAAATGAAGTAAACATTAAAATATTTTTAAATATACGTCATAAGGAAACATTATCTATACCAAACTTTTGAATAATATCTGACCCAGACGTGTACAAATACCAGTTTATTTTCTAAACAATGGACAAAACAAAATTAATAATGATATAATTAGTATTACTGTAATAGTTGTTATCATCAATGATATCATAAGGTCAAATGTAAATATGTACTTTGTAAGTTTTTAATACTTTAATTACATATGATTTTCACTAATTCTTTATAATAGCAGTAAAATGTCATGTAAATACTAGATTGTTGAATTTCATTAAAATCTTGAATCGATCTAAACTAGACAATCATTGAAAACGTGCAAGCACGGGACGGCCGCTTCGTTCCACTTTGAGGCTTTTCACCAGTGCACACCTATAACCTTGAATCTGGGAGTCGAACCCAGGACCTTCAGTCTCTCATGCGGACGCAACTTCTTGGTAACTGAGACGGTAATCAGTGGTGTAAAAGTCTAACCTCGAATAATCCGCGATGTTGCATTGCCTTCAGTTGTCAACTTTCTCACACCAAACATGGTTTAGCTCCACTGGTCATGGCTTCTTATTAGGACGCCGGAAATTTCTTCTCGAAGCTAGTCTTTAGTGCGCGCATGATTCGTGATTTCAATGGAATTTAACGATTTTCACAACTCTATACTAGTATAAACTTTAATTACGATTTCAACTGGTTACTGTCCTTTGTATAGCTAAGTTTTTAGCTGAAATTTCACTAACTTTTAATCTAGCAGATAGTAAACAGCTGACATTTTGATATTGTCGTCTGCTTTTTACTTGAAATGTAAGTTTCTTGGGAAATATTCTAATGAACAACGAGTAGACACTGGATAATAATAGAATTAACTGTTTCAATTGTTTTGCTTAAGTTGAAAACAATCTTAAACCTGAATTACTAACATACAGAAATCCAGCTTACTCTTAGATTTATTAAGAAAACTTCAAACGTGAAACTTTTCCTTGTAAACCAGTTTTTTTGATAATCCCAGTTTCTTCGTGTATATTCAAAAGCCTTTATAACATATAATGACAGCTAGTACGTCCACTATTACTAAAGTTTTACTCGACCTATTACTATTTTGTGAATTTATTTTGAACTAATTACATCCAATGTATCTATGTCATGAATAATAAAGTGCCAATTACAAATGTGTATTATTCGAATTCGCAACACCTTACATTAGCTCAAAGAGAGAAAATCAACAGCCTGAGTACCATATATAGGGAAATAATATCAATTGCAGTGGAAAAGTGAATGTGTGGATTAAACAATTAGGGACTGATGATACCGAAGAGTCAAGTGCACGCTAAGAAATTAAACTTCAAACTGAAAGTAATATAGAGAATGTATTGATTTTAGATCACGTCACCCATCGCCTCCAACCATGTATTATAATTATCTTATGGATCTTAAATAAGACACAACTAAGCTTAACAGTCAATGACTTAGTGGACTGATACCATATTCTTAGATTTGCTCAGACCTATTTTATGTCTTTCAGTAGTACACGTAGGCTCAGGAAATGATTAGATATATGTAACACATGTTACAACCACGTTAGATGATGATATTCTGGTCATCATCAACCAACGTATCATTTCTAACCCTAACACAATTACTTTGAAATTTTCATTACAAATGAACAGCTTTTTGAAGATATTTATGATTGATTACCCTCAACCCATATATATCTTCTATCCTAATTGACTATGTTTCAATCTTCCACTTCAGTCCACCTTACTGCTCATGAATGAATTATTCACTTTCAAAGTATACTCATGTATTTCATTTGTGTCACAAAAATCTTCGCTTTACTTTTTTTGGATCCCACTACCTTGTTTGTCATTAAAAAGAAACCAGTTTATGTATATTCACACAGTGAATAAATACTTTTCTTATTTTGTCATGACATTATGATAAATCTTGTGTATTTTAGTGAGTTACTTCTGTTCTTCTTCTTAAACCTTGGGTTTTTTTTTTCGGAAAAATGTATTTTCACTTTAACAATCGTTTAACTTCTCTAAAAAAAAACACACAATTAATCTAACACCTTCTTTGTTATGGTAGAATGTTTTTGATTTTGTTCTATTTAGTTCTTTTCTCTTGTCAAACTTGATTGATGTTTTAACATCTATACACACACAAAGAAAGAGGGATAGGAAGAGAAATAAACTTTATTATTATTATTATTATTATTATTATTATTATTATTATTATTATTATTATTATTGAACAGGCTATCGCCGGTAACACTTTAATAATATAGAGAAAGGTATTTATGAATCTAGGTAAATAAAACGATTTCATATCAATCATCCACTCTATATCCATTTATTGTTTATTTTTCTAGCTGTGACTAATTCTTGAGATTATTATCATCTCATAATATTGTAATATTACTAATAATGATAGTATCCTGAATACCAGACTAAGTACTTGACTAATTTTTTTTTTAGTATTGATATAAGAATTTAGTTAGTCTATAAGATAGTAGAGTAATAGCAACATATAAATACTAATTTAGATCCATGTGTATACTTATGAATGTAGGTACATGCTTGTAATGATATTTGCACAACAACGTGTTCAATAGTAAGTCATATGAATACTTCCACACAAAAAAAACATAATACTTTTATCTATAAAGTTTAGGAATTTTCAATTATTTATGGTACATATATAAACCGGGACTCTCTAACAAAATATTAAGGTGATCATAACATAATCTAGAATTATGAATTCAAGTTCAGAAATGTCAATCATTTTACAGTTTTACGACCATTCTAAGGTAAACTTGATAGTTAGAGAGTTAGAATTGTAAAAGAGGTGACAAATGATTTACACTATTGTAAAACTTTAAATCAGAATGATTTATTCGTTCATTAACGCTTGAATTTTGAATATACTTGTTCAAATTGATATCAGTTTATTATGGCAGCTAAATTATAAATAATATCAAGTTCCTTAGGAACAACTATTATGAAAATCATTGAATATTAAAAGATAGCATAATGCTTGTTGAAGTAACCCAGCTGATCTATTCGGTTTCGAACACTTACTTTCACACAACGTCTGCTCAGGAGTTTAAAAAGGTTAGTTGATATTGTAGAATGAGTAATTATTACCAAGAAAATGAAATGGTATTAATACTATTACGACCCCTATTATCACTAGTGTCAAGATCCATCATATAGACAACCAAAAACGTGATTAAAATGTCTGTTACAACCTCGCTTTTTTTTAAGACCTTTAAGTAGCAAAATTAGTATACGAAATACTCTCATCGTTTATGTAAAAACCTTATCAAATACCTGTTAAAACATTTATAGACAAAAATAGTTATTAGTTTGACTTCTGGAGTGAAATTTGTGTTGTAAAATAAAAAACGTTCAAAAGTCAAGTTTAGCTATTCACTTCACATAACCTAAGGAAAGTGGTGAACATTTTTAATTTCAAGCAAAGATGAACGGTGACAAGCAGTGGGATCCAGGGTACGCGTTTCTTCCTATTCGGGACTCGTCAGTTAGATGTCCCTGCATCCTAGAGTTGATGTTCACTCCAAGACTCGAACCCAGTATCGTTCACTTCAACCGTCATCGCGTTATCCATTTAGCTAATGAGTCCTGATAGCCATTAGCGTGTGCAATGAGGTGAAGTTTTAATTTATTTTTGTATTGTTTGCTTGAATCTTATCATTGATGTTTAGGACTGGATTCCACTGTTAGCCACCATCCATCTCTGCTTATAATGCTTGTAAATTAAGGCGATATCGAGGCAATCCGCACAGGATGCACATATGCCAATAAGAGACTGATCAATTGCAGTCCTAAATATCAATGGGAAACTTCAAACAATCAATACAAAATGAATTTTCAATTTCGTTTTTAAGATAACTTAAGGCTCAATTTCTAATTTCAGTGATGTAAGGATAAAATCAATTAAACTGAATGTGATGAAATCCCATTAAAATAAATGACTCTGTAATAAACAGTTGTCTGATGAATAAAAAGATTGACAAATCTAATAATCAATTTATATGATAATTCAATATTTGTCTATCACAGTTGATTGATCACTGGGTGGTGATGAATGTCATGCTTGTCTAGTCCTTATTAGTGCAGATCGAATGCTATCGATCATGTTGCAATGTGGCCAGTGATCAATCAATTGTGATTACATCTCAGTCCTACAGCAGGTTAGTCACGACTCGGATAGCTCAGTGGTAACGTCTCTGACT